TAAACTAGCGCAGAGGACAAAAAGTTTACAGGAAAACCGAAAATAGCAGAAAGGAAGTCTCAATAATCGAATGGGAAGGAAAGGAAAGAAAAAAAGCGAAGCATGAAAGATAAGAAAAGGTAATTGTAAATCCAGTAAGTATACATATATAACCTGCCTATATTCGAGAACAATTTTCTGAGCTACGGTTAAGAATAGCCAAGGCTTAAAACTAACCCAATGCAATAACAGTGCATGAGAGATATACGACGATCTCTTGTGGTTTTTCCCCTGCATTAAACGTGTGAAATGCGGCTGTTTCATCAGATAACAGTCACCTTGCAGATTTACACAAAAGAGGCTTGCAAATTCTCCTTTGCAATCCAACCGATGCCGCTATGATATTCGCACCAATTTTTTAGACACGATTCATCGCCATTAATGGCAGCTAAATGTGTATTAAATTTCACTTTGTTTTGTGAGCTAAACATCAACAATGCCGAAAAGCTTGTGGCCAAAATTTCAACGACAAAAATCAACAAGAAGTATACGAGTTCAAAATTACCTTCTTGGATGCAAGCGACGGTTGCCATACTACAGTAGCCTCCTTGCTAGAAACGCTGCTGTGTAGGACTGCCTGCGATTACGTACGCTTCAAATTCGCACATAAACTTAGTGAATCAGGTATACACAAATAGTGTGACACGGAAGAATTCGCGATCATTGTTGTGCCGAAAAGCAAGTCCAAATTAAAAGCCAGACGTTATACATATTTAACGAGCGGTAATGTTTTCATTTGATTGACTATTCATGAACCGCATTACGATCAATGAATTCAATTGCTTGCTTTGGTTTTTGCCCTAAAACGTGCATATGCACATAATTATGCACAATTCAGGACGCTATATCCGGTGGAAAAAGCCGCACGCGTACGAGAAATGCTTGTGTTCAAACGGTAATTCAAAGGGAACTGGAACGTCATTCAGGATAGTTTAATTGACGCCGACAGGGAGCCCCATATATATAGCTACATTAAGGAAAATGGGAATTGAAAGTATGGCTTTAATGTCCATCTCATTTGGCTCCATGAATCTGGAGTAGGAACTTCTTAACATGTTCGATCTATTAATATTTGGAGTGTAAACTTCTCCGTAAGTTTGGCGCACTTAATGTTCACGTTCTGTATGTATAAGGACCTTCTCAGTATGTTTCACCTAGCGAACTCCATATATACCTGGAGTAAGAACTTCTCAGTATGTTTCACCCAGCGAACTCCATATATACCTGGAGTAAGAACTTCCCAGTATGTTTCACCCAGCGAACTCCATATATATACCTGGAGTAAGACTTCTCAGTATGTTTCACTAAGCGAACTCCATATATACCTGGAGTAACAACTTCTCAGTATTTTTCACTAAGCGAACTCCATATATATACCTGGAGTAAGAACTTCTCAGTATTTTTCACTAAGCGAACTCCATATATATACCTGGAGTAAGAACTTTTGAATGTAAAGTTGGGCCCAGCTGCCTCAGCGAACTCCATATATATACCTGGAGTAAGAACTTCTCAGTATGTTTCACTAAGCGAACTCCATATATATACCTGGAGTAAGAACTTTTGAATGTAAAGTTGGGCCCAGCTGCCTCAGCGAACTCCATATATAACTGGAGTAAAAGCTTCTTGGTATATCAGGACAGTGATCTCCATATGTATTTGGAGTAACGACTTCTCAGTATGAATATTTAACCAAAAAACTTTCAGTATGATGTCTGGCCCAAGGAGCTTTACATATATCTGGAGTAAAAGCTTCTTTGTGTAATGTTAGACCTGGTAAGCTCCATGTATACACTTGGACTAACATCTTCTCAGTATGTTTGACCCAGTGAACTCAAAATATATTTGGAGTGAAAACTCAGTATATTCAACCCTGTGAACTCCATACACACCTGGAGTGAAAACTTTTTAGTTATATTGTTGGGCCCAGTGATTTCCATATATACATGGAGTGAAGACAACTCAGTATATATGTTTGACTTAGTACATGTGAACACTTCTATGTTTGGCCCAGTAGACTTTGTATACTCTATAAGAACCTCCACATATATTTGGGTAAAGACTTCACAGAATCTTTGAATTGGTAAACTCATATATATTCAGTAAAAGCTTCATAGTATATTAGGCTCAGATTCATGTATATACTGTCTTATAAAAACTTTATTATGAACTAACGTTCACTGAACTTCATTTATGGTATCTGAAGTAAGATTGATGTATATTCAGTATAATGTTCAGTCCAGCAAACTTCATATCTGGAGCGAGAACTTCTGAATGCAATATTCTGCCCAGTGAACTTCTGCTACAGCTTAGCTTCATCTCCCTTCCACTAAAGTTTGAAATATGGTCAAGTTATTTTTCATGTATGTACTTGCTGCTTCTTCATGTAACAAGCAGTACATATGGGCTATCATCTTGCATTCTTAGCATATATATACAACAAAATGTTAACTCGCATGTCAATACTCCAATATTGAGAATTTACGGCTGAATTTTAGTATCCCTTAGTATTATTTAAAAGAGTGAGTTTCTGTTCATTTGTTAGATTCTTACAATAGTAAATCTAGTTAACATTTTTACACTTTATGTTCTTTTCACACAAATGTTTTTTCCACATAATTGATACCTTTTACATAATTGCTTGCAACAATCATGTTTGTTACATTTTAGAATAAATTATTTTGTTACATTTTGCAAAATTTTGACAGGTTTTTACTTTGTCAATGCTAAAAGATAGACTTGTTTTTAAGACCTTGTAGGCACATTTTTTAAATATTCTTGCTTATACGCATAAGTATTTTAGCTTGTATAGCCTTGTAAATGCATTTAAATACTCCTTTTTATGACAGGTGGCTAACATATGTGGCTTAATTATGTCCCCAAATCACAGGTTTGAGTGCTGTAAGAAAAATTGATGGCATAATCATAGCCAATCAACATGTAAACAACATCATACTACAATACGAAAATGGTTATTCTGTTAATTGCACTTCATTTTATTTTATTTACCTTGTCTTCCATCAGTAACAGGGACAGACCATGTCACAAGATTCCTTGCAGCTCGGCCCTCTTTCTCAACTAAACGACGTACATGGTCTTGGCTGTTGGTACGATGCAATCCTTTATAACTTGTCTACAACAATAAATCGCAAATACTTGAGATAAACCAAGATACATTTCAAATTCAAATTCACTTCCAACACTATATATGTTTTTAGTAATATTAACAGGTAGCAATTCACCACAAAATTTATATTATAAGGCAGTCATGAATGTCCAAGTGTCCTGTCAAAATATTTGCAGTTTTAGCCAGGATATGATCAGAGCTGTGAGTGCAGGCAGATTTGAGATTGCAAAACAACTGTTTGCTAGGCTGGACATTTAGAGGAGGAGCCCTGCTAGGGGTGTTTTATTTATACTGCACGCATTAGAAATAACACATAAAGGTTAGGCATGGGTTTTCCATGTTATCTATATGCATCAAATATCCTACAAACATCTTGGTAATACACAATGTACTAAGCTTGGAATTTGATACCCAGGATTACAATGGATATTGGGTCAGTGTCAAACTATGAATATTTTACCAGATCTGGTTTAGTTTGCAAATCTCGATGGAATGAGGATTGGAATTAATGGGAATAAAAAATTGGACTCTGCTGTCAGAAAGTTTATTGCCAATGAATAAAAATGAGCTTATCTGAATTCAATAACATGTAGATTTGTCACACTAACAGACTCCATGTGATTATGTCTGCCAGTGGTAGTAGTAAACATTTTTCAAGTACTCTGAATCAGAAAGGATCCTATTCAAATGACTTTCTGATTGTATATAAAATCACTGTATAAAAGTGATACAATGATAGATGAATTATGATTTTTGGCACTTAATATTAATTACTGAATGCAGGTAAATTCTAGAGGTTTATGGACCTATAGTTGACTCATTTTCCATCAACTGTTCCTGGCTTGAATTTGAAGTGTGTATAATTCCGCTCGAAATTAAGACCCTTTAAAACCTCTAGAATGATAGATGAACACTATGACTATCAATATTGTTTTTCGATATTGATCTGATAGCATCAATAAAGTAACCCGGGCTAACCGTAAACTTTTCAATACCTTTGGAGAAATATTCTTCTTGTTATTCGCATAATTGTTGCGGTATCTTTCGGCTCGATTCTTGTGTGTACTTCCATTCCCCAAATTTCCATTATTGCTGTCTCTTTCTTGGCCATTTTGCCGTCTACGTTCGCTTTTGTCTACATGGGACATTGTTTTTAACAATGCTACATTTTGAAAACCTACTCTCTCCTGCACAAATTAGCTAGATCATTTCAATATTTTGAAAATGTGGTTGATAAAAATATGATGACTTGAAAAGCAAAACAAACCACATATCTCCCGCGCAACGGCGTCGAAATCTTGGATCATTTGTCCGTACGGAAAATAATAACCACCGGGGCTTAGTCTAATAAAAGCACGTGTAGACAAATCCCAAAAAACAATAAACAGCAGTCTTTAGCAATACCTCGAGGTCATTCACGTGTATAAACAAACAAAATTCGATATCCTGTAGTACTTGTCTAGAAGAAAACACTCCAATCTTAAAATTTTCGAGCCAAATTTAGCGTTGATATTTTGACCCGGTCGGCTTGTGGCACCAAAACATCCTTTGTGGTAAATCTGTTTGTTTTTGGCTTTATGCAAATAATGCGAATATTTCTTATCTAAATCGATTGTGTGCATGAAGTATTCTTTTTATTGATATTTTCGGGCTAAAATATTGTTAAATTGTGCAAGAATTACAAAACCATGCAGCAGTTTAATAAGAGAAATGTTATATTTCAGAATTTGATATTGTTGCTACCGGAGTTTTGTCCCTCCAAATTTCTGGTTATTGTCATGCGCAATAGTCTCAGCGGGAGAATTGAATTTTTGGAATACAAACAATAACACCGCGAATTAAGATTTTTTTAAATTTAGCCGTATTTTTATACTTATACTTTTTACCTGTGCTATGAGTACATATATTTTACTTCTTGACGCTGTAAGAAGCAAGAATCTAGGGTAAGTGGATCGTTGTAAAGGATATAAACCATGAAGTTGTTGTATGTGTCATAGTCTCATAGTTAATCGGCTAATATTTATTAATTGCTACTCGATCTTTCCTGGCTGTGACTAACGGGATGAACTGAGCTTCTAGGCCATAACAACATATATTTAAAGTGGTAAATATAACCCAGATTATACAACGGTTTTCTTGTCGAATTGTCAGTTTAAATATGAACATATAATGGTCTCATTGACTCTATCGTTTAATAAAAATTACATGCAAGGACAGGCTGGACAGCAATATACCGAAGGCGGTCCTAATTGGAGAGCATGTCACTGCTTTCAATACACAAGATCCATGGACAAATTTGCCTATTTTTATTGCCTATTCTGCCCAAAAGGATTTAAAGGCTGCCTTATTAGGATGCCTAATGTATGCCTTATTAGGCAGCCTAATTTCAAAAATATTGACCTACTAGAAAATCTGTAGCCTGAATGAATATGTACTAAGTTTGCTAGTCATACAACTTGATGCAAATTATATGCATGTATATTAGCTGGTAGTTTGAATAATACCCAGTCACTGGAATGAGAAAATATGGTGCATCGTTGATAATTTATTAAGCTTGAATTTCTTCCATTATTCCCGGCCATCATGTACCAGTTCTGCTACACTGATTTATGTAAATGCTCATAATGTATAGTTTATAGTATTTACCAAAAGTAAATAAGGGTCCGATACCACAGTACAGTCTCGCTCCTTGCAGTGGCCTGCCAGTATATATTTATACTAAGTGAGAATTAAGTGTGCGACATGATAAAGGAAATACTTAAATTATCAATTTAATAATTATTAATTTATTACCTAATTAATAATAACTGTCAATGTGTGATACCATGTAAGTCTGAGGAACTGTTTAGGATCTCTTAACCAATTTTAATATCTTAATTGGATTGAGAATTCCACCCTTATATAGTGTTATAGCTAAACTCCATTATTAATTAAGTCTTTGAATATTCCTGTCTATTTAGACACCCCTCCTTTAAGTCTTTGAGATGAGGTAAAGTATAAGTACGAAATTAGACCACAAGTGAGAAAAAGGTCTGCTGTCACACACTTCAAATCTGGCCCACATTGAAATTACAATTTCCATACTTCATTGCTAATTAGAATTGTATTTGCACATATTTTCTACCTGCATATTTGTGAGGCAAAAAATGGAGTGTTCAATAACTATTTTGACTGTATAGCAATTTCGTCTTTATTAGTTTGAAGTTAATCTTTTTATGAAACCATTACCCATGCTCAAATGATAAATGCTGAATCATGATAAACACTTTTTTGTTTAGTTTTCTAAAAGATTTCATCAAAGATGAAAAAAATTCTGATTTTATTAATCTAAATGAATCCGATGAAGACGGAATTACTTGTCTTCACGTTGCAGCAGGATTGGAAGACAACGCGATTTTGGAGTGTCTCCTTGACCATGGCGCTGCGGTTAATTGCCGGACATCAGAGGGCCTTACCCCCTTGCACATTGCTGCGATGTGGGGTCGTAGCGAACAGGTACGGTCGCTTCTTGCGCGCTCCGCAGACAGTTCGATTGTCGATGCAAACGGCTGCAATGCGTTCATGTACGCGTCGAACTCCGAGGAGGAAGGCAGCCAGTCTTGCGTCGACATCATTTTGAGCCATGAGGAGTGTAACGAGGGTTTTGATCAACACAGCAACGCTGAACGTAGATCAACCCCCGAGTCTAGCATCGACTTTGAGCGCCTAAACAGCAGCCCGTGGGTCACGCCTCGACGACAGAAGAGGAAGGCATTGAGGGGAATGAAAAACAAAGAACTACAAGATCTGTTACTGGATGAAAGCACTTTAGAAAATGGACACACAGCAAGCAGGGAACATGAAGACATTGAGGGGTTCCTCACTGAGTTGTCGAGCGCTGATTCCTTTTCCTATTCCACAATTACCGGAATCGAGGGCTCCGAAAATAAGAGCTTGTGCTGTTCCGATTTTTTGACGGAATGCTCAAATTCGGACAACTCTGATTCAGGGTTGAATGAAGTTAACGTTGGAGTGAGAAGGGACTTGTTTAAGGATGACGATGACGGTATTTTAAGTGCGAGATGTTTCGAGGTGAGTTGTAAAGATGGCGCCGAAGATGTTTACGAGACTGCAGACGAAGATTTTGATGGTGAAAGCGTAAGCATAAGAAAAGACACTCAGGTTCAAGGTGATGATAACGAAGACATTAGAAGGGAAGGCGAAATTGTAAGAACGATAAATTTTGGGGAATCTGTCGAAGAAAATGTGCTAAATATGAAAGAAGAAAAAGAGCGAGAGGTTCACTTGAATGATACGTATAGGATCGAAGATTGTTACCAGGAAAGCGAAGAAAAACAACCATTGGAAGAAGAAACGGTTATATATGATTGGCGGGAATTCTCCGTCGTCGAGAGGAATGAAACCATGGCGCAAATTCCTGAAAGTTATAAGAAAATGTCTTTCCAGGAATTACGCAGAAAAATTAATGATCACGGTCAGATTCCTGGACCTATAACCCCTCAGACGAAGCTCTTGTATATGAAAAAATTGTGGAGACTTGATCATGGATTTGGGATGCGTAAAGCGAAAGTAAGTACATATGCTATGTAACTAGGACATTATTCATGTCAAGGAAATCTTTCATGTTTAATGAGAAATGAAATAATATTATTTTTGTAAAGAAACGACTGGAAATTTTCTTTTATGCAAAATTTGCAAACCGCCCCAGGCTCTATATATTTTTAACATTTTTTAACAATATGTCTAAAAATCTCAACAGAGTTTTTCTTATTCCTTTTAAACTACTCTTTAAATTATACAGTTTTAAGTTGCCATATTCCTGCGTAGATCAGAATTTGGTCTTCGTGCAGTTGGAATCGATTATTGTAATATTACCTACATATAACATGACAACCCCAATTTAGGAAACCTCGCCGTGCAGTTGTTATCCTTTGGAAACGAGACTAGTTTTAACGGGACGGAAGGAAATTCCAGATTGTGGGGCATTAGAGCAAGATATAATTAAAGAGTTTAATGGAAAGAGGAAAGTACCATGGCGTGGAGGGTAAGCACTTGATTACCGACTGTCTTAATGACGTCAATGTTCAGTCTAGTGAGCTTCATTTATATATTCAGTATAACAATAAATTTCATGATTATGCGGTTCAGTGCAGCGAGTTCCGTACATATAAGATGTAGTTGGATCTCGCTGTGCTGAAAATCCAATGTTCATTATGTATGAATAATTCGTATGGAAGATACTGTATATAACCAACCTACCGATAACTTAATTTCACTGGTGGATTCTGGGTAAAGAATTTATAAATTACACGCCTAAATTTCAAATTCATTATTTCTTAATTGCAAACCTATAGCTAGGTTTTTAATTTCTGAAGAATATTTTTTATATAAAAATCCGCCAATTGCAAGTTAGAGCTGTAGTATTTTATTCTTCCTTATACGCTGGATCCACAACTGCCTAAATCTTTTTGGTATATTTTTGAGAGAGGCGAGCACATGCAGATCTAAATTTCTTTCTTCTAAATTTTTCTAGCACTGAAAAGTCCAGTTTTAATTATCTTATGCTTGATCCACGCGTAACACTCGACCTTTCCCAACGGATGAAAAAGATGACAGCCATCGAAGCTTTTCGATGCTTCATCCTGGCCATATTTTACGTTGGGAAAGGCAAACGTTCTCGACCATACGCTCATCTCCACGAAGCCGTGAAATACTCAAAAAGCAAGGTATGTCATTCGACAAATTTCTCTGTGTCATCAACCAAAAATGCTTCATTTATTTGCCGACCATCGAGCTATAACGTTCTCCAAAAGCAAACGTTTGGACCAATCTAGTTCAAAATGAAAAATTATTAGTGAATTTCTCCCATTCCTACTTCCTAGTTCAGAATGAAATTCCTCTTCCTTTCTCTAAGGCGCACGGTTTTTACTCGGTAATTTTCTCAAAATTTTAGGCTAACCAGAAAATAGAACACATTATTGAAATCTGGAAGGCGGGTTTGGGGGTGATCTCTCTCCACCTTTTCCAAAGTGCGATACCTGTTGAAGCCTTTACGCGTGAGGCTTGCATGGTGGAGGCGCTGGGTAAGTTGAAAAATCTTACTTTTGTATATGTAAACTATCTAATGTTCATATTTTGGATCTTTTTTATTGGGTAAAACAACTAAAAACTGTTTATACTTTTGAAAGATAATTGAAATTTCCTTTCATATGCAATTGTTGCGTGTGTTTTCAAATATTTCAGAATATATGTTTGGTTGAGGTTGTGGCCATGTGATTATGTTAGGGGCTGGGTACAAAGCAAAATACTTTCGTGTACGATATTTAAGCTTTACTCTCTGCTTTCTCAAACACTTGTGCGTCATTGCATGAGTTTGACGATGACTTAAAACTATTTGGTTAAAAGGCGTATCAAAACTACGTTGTCTACCTATGTTATTAGAAGAAGTAGGTAAAAACAGGCGCGGTTGCTACCGTGCTACTATTTTGGTCAAGGTGTTTTGAAGTGCAGTACCTATATGTTCAGAAAGAGATGATCATATAATGATCATAATAAAAGATAAAATTCTTGCCGTTTTTAAACTTTTAACTAAAAAAAGTGTATGGCGAAATTGTATGAGTAAACAATTTTGAGAACTATTAAAATTATAGCTTCATTTTGTCAATTGCATTTCAAATTGAAAAGTGAAACATGCATGTGTTTCTTTGAAATCCATTCGAAAACAGCTAATCAAAAGGTGAGTATATTACTTTTTATCAAGTCAAGTATAGAATCGTTCAGAAAGATATAATTTGTTTATAGAGAAATATGTTATTGCATAAAATATGTGATATAGCTGTATATGTATGATGCAACGCCCTAGCTACATATGATTGTCTCTTTTGGGTTCTAGGACTGTCCCAGTTAACCAACAAGAAGAAGGGAGAGTATTATGGGCTTTGTGGGAGGTTGGATATGAGTAAGAAGAGAAAATTGGGAATCTTCTTCTTGCATAAAGCATTTCAAATCTTTTTACAAGAAGGCGAAAGACAAATTCGTAAAGAAGATATCTAAAAAGCTCAGAAATGTTCTCAAAAGATGCAGAATATTTTGGCCACTGATATGACAGTCAAACTGGATAGTCTCACGTTGAAGACGTGTTTCGGATTTGGAGCCATGCATATAGTCTGAATACTTTGAGCAAGAAAATTGCAATTGTTAATTGAAAAGTAGCCATGTCGTCGCGAATGTTGCAACCTTTTTTCATCCTTTTTCCAATTAACCAGAGTTATGCAATTTTGTTATACGTATTACATCGCCTTTTTATGAAAAGACGTGTAGCGTGGTAATTTGGCATATCTATAGTGACAAACTGTAACTGACGTCATGGTTTGTCCAATGTCCGCCATTTTGGGTGGCAAATATTTTACGGTCGTATAAAAGCAAGAAAAACAACATAAAAGCTAAATTTTTATTCTAGCACTGTGCTTACAATTTTGTCTGCATGCCATGTCGGAAAGTTCCTAGAAAAACTGAAATTCCTAGAAATTGTAGCAAGCGGTGAATCAAAAACGTTTGCCACCCATGCTGTAAAGACTTCATACCACAAGAGCTTACTACAAGACAATATAGCAATTTTCTTGCCGACTAATAATGAAAAGAAAACCCCCAAGAAAAGTGGAAGTCGAACTCGTCGCTCGTGAATAGTTGTCGATCATAAATGAGTTCCCATGCGAGGAATAGGCAACTAGTTTGTTGTCGATAACCAAGAAATTTTAAGTCAGGTTAAACCCTTTCATGGTTCTAAATTTCTGCCATAACTCCATGTAAATAGTGTATATCTATAAGTTGTGTTAACACATTACGGCCCTAAGTCTGGCCTGACGTTGGACTAAAATTTTCATGTGCGTCGTCATGATGTACTGAAGGTCAAAATGCCTGTCCACTCTGCGAAAATCTAATCCAAAATAACGCTTGTAGACAAATCATTTTTATCCACATTTATTATCGTTGTAGTATAGTAACTGTAAGTTTTAGATCATGTATATATAAATGTTTGTATATAAATGAAAAATTAAATCAACGGCTAAAAAATGACACTTGAATGCAAACGGAAAGTTCAAAATCCATCATTATAGTGGATAGTAATTCCATGTTGACGCAGGAAATCCTATTAGGATTGGGATTTACGATAATCAACCATAAATCTAAGCTAATACCTATAATCCTAACCTAATTTCAAGGAATAAATTCGTATATTTAAGACTTACTGAACACGGAATTATAAACTAGGCCCTATTAGTGATACTGTTAGTGATACTAACATGGAATTCAACATGGAATTATTATCCACTATACCTATTAGTGATAGTAATAGATACTTTTCTAATATGTAGCTAAAACGTATGAAGTCTCGCGAGTCTATTTATTGTTTAATTACTGGTCCCTCATCCATCTATCTATCCATCCAACTAGCTATAATATTTAATAATATGTAAAAAGTTGCATTTCAAGACGCCCAAGCCTTAAGCTTCTTTTTGCAAGAAGAATAGAAATAAAAGCATAAAAACTATGCTAAAATTAAGTGTTTAAGTTTTCCTTAAAACCATCGATGTTTGAACTTTAAAGTAAAAAAAAATAAAAATCTCTTTTCGCGGGTTTAGTTTCCTAGTTGCATGTATCACTGTTCCACATATCGTTGTTCTGTACTTCCTAGTTGAAACCAATATTAGTTGATCCCTTTTTAGAACCGGCAATGTTTGCCATATCGATGTCTGTGTTATATCTTCCCATAAAATTACGTTTAGCTCTCCTTCGATAATAGGCCTAGAATTAAACATAAAGTGAACTTGAGATCGGTGGTAAAATGCTATGCAATATGATTGGCTAAGCTGCTTACTGCATGTATATTATTAGTTCCTACAAAATGCAAGTTACGACAGTCAATGATACCGTGAAAATTTTTTGAAATAATTACTCCGCCTGCGTATGCGCAGCGGAGTCTTAAAATGCCATGGTCTTTTTCCTTTTAGTAGTCGTAGTTTTGAGCGACAGAAGTTTGCATTTCTACAGGTAACCCAATACGACTTCATTTTTGACCGAGAAGCCCTGGGTTACACGGTCCACGCGGATGAATTATGTACATCAGTTGGCATGCAGGCGGAGTGAACGCCTTGAGCAGGCATCTTGTTTAATAAATATTTGCACGTTATTATTATTATATAAAGATTTGATTATATTGTTGAAAAATAACTCCACTTGCCCTGATCATATATGGTTGCATGGTAGTTGTTACTCGTGCATATGACCCGAGCTCTAACTTCATGGTGTAATTGTTAACTAATAGCCATTGTAAGTGGTTAAGAAAGTGATTTTTCTCCACTAATTGTGGACAGTACAACGAAAACACTGACACTATAAATTTTAAATATTCTTATACGCCTTGTCTAAAAGTGCATGCATGCTTGCTGCATACTTTTATTAGTTTAAACAACATTTTCACATATCTGTTGTAACTAATACAATACTTCATTAGTACTATCTTTGCCCTTGGTTAAACGTGATGTTTCCCTATTAATTTATACCAAATCTAAAACCTTACCACGTAGACTACGATAGCAAGAACAAGAACCCCCAAGGGTATGCCAACAGCAAGCCATATTTTTTTGTTGTCTGAACTGCTCGAAGATCTGGGAGCATTTTTACCACCAAAGTCCACATCAGTTATCTAGATCAAGGGATCAATTATAAAATCCGTCTTTAAAATTAGTGTGCATGTGTAGGTAACTTGCTACGTACGATTGGGGCGGTGACTTCACAACTAAATTTTTGATCACCTGCATTTAAAATCAAGGTTTAATGTCAGGTTTGATTTATGGCCAAGTTATGTATCTTGGAGATGAGATGTCTTTTAAACAAAAAAATGAGCTACTCTTGGGTAATAACTAGGTACCGGTTTGATTTAAAAGTTCATTAATAAGAGATAACACAAAAACACATGGCGTCATCCTGAGTTGTATGCTAACATTCAATATATTACTGTGACGTCACGTTATAGTAATATCCAAAGACAAGCTTTACCCTGTTTTCAAACAGCTTTCCTAGTTTGCCCAGCTGTTTGGATTCCAGCAGGTCCTTTAGATCCTCCCCAACTTTAATGGTGACTTCATCTGCATCTGATCCTATCACTGAAAACCAAACATCGATTCTCTGTGTGGTATCATCCGGGTTTTCACAATTTCTTTCTCCATTCACGATGTATATGTCGGTTGATTTTAAGGTATTGCCCTTAAGGTCACGTGACCTTCCTGCGAGCATTTCCCTAAATTTCTGCTCCACGCTTCCACAGAAGCTGATCCAGGTATATTTCATCGTGACAATCACATACACGTTGGGTTCAGGTACAGTTGGTTTTTCAGTCGGCTCTGGCATACTCGTTTGTCCTTTTGGGTCAGACATAAAAGATTTCACATCTACTTCGAATGCACCTAGTGTTCCATTTTGTATTTGATTCCGGACTATATTTCCAGCTTTGCCTTTTGAAATGCCACTAGGATCCGATCCTTTCACTCCAAGCACCAACTTAGATTTGGTAATCAGACTACCGCATTCTAACTTTGTAATCGTCAAGCGACATTCCTGTTCTAGAAATGCGTCAATACCACAAATTTGAGACTTTAGATAGTTTTGAAAGACGAAAAAGTGAATAGAATCCTTCCTTGTGTATTCCTCAGAACAACTGTCCAGTAGTTGACGTAAAATTTTCATCTTTTGTTGCTGTTTCTCGCTCGAGTTGTCATTTTCTATGCTTATTTTAGTCAGTGTCATTGATACTGAATATTCATAGTACGTTATGTTTTCAACAAAGGAGGTTGTTCGAATTGTCGATGCAATGGTACTTGGTGTTGTTATATGTTCTGTAGCATTTGAAGATTTTGTTGGTGCAATTGTACTTTCAGGTGTGATTGATGCAGTTGTACTTTCAGATGTGATTGATGCAGTTGTACTTCCAAATGTGATTGATGGAGTTGTACTTCCAGATGTGATTGGTCCAGTTGTACTTCCAGATGTGATTGATGCAGTTGCACTTCCAGATGTGATTGGTGCAGTTGTACTTCCAGATGTGATTGATGCAGTTGTTCTTCCAGATTTGATTGGTGTAGTAGTACTTCCAGATGTGATTGGTCCAGTTGTACTTCCAGATGTGATTGGTGCAGTTGTACTTCCAGATGTGATTGGTGCAGTTGTATTTCCAGATGTGATTGGTGCAGTTGTACTTCCAGATGTGATTGATGCAGTTGTACTTCCAGATGTGATTGATGCAGTTGTACTTCCAGATGTGATTGATGCAGTTGTATTTCCAAATGTGATTGATGCAGTTGTATTTCCAGATGGGATTGATGCAGTTGTATTTCCAGGTGTGATTGATGCAGTTGTATTTCCAAATGTGATTGGTGCAGTTGTATTTCCAGATGTGATTGGTGCAGTTGTATTTCCAGATGTGATTGGTGCAGTTGTACTTTCAGATGTGATTGATGCAGTTGTACTTCCAGATGTGATTGATGCAGTTGTACTTCCAGATGTGATTGATGTAGTTGTACTTCCAGATGTGATTGATGCAGTTGTACTTCCAGATGTGATTGATGCAGTTGTATTTCCAGATGTGATTGATGCAGTTGTACTTCCAGATGTGATTGATGCAGTTGTACTTCCAGATGTGATTGATGCAGTTGTATTTCCAGATGTGATTGATGCAGTTGTATTTCCAGATGTGATTGATGCAATTGTACCTCCAGGTGTGGTTGATGCAGTTGTATATGCTGATGCTGGTGGTGCAGTGGTATTTACTGTTGTCATTAGCGTAGTAGTGGTATTTACTGTTGTCATTGGCGTAATAGTGGTATTTGCTGATATTATCGGTGAGCTGGTAAATGTTGGTAACATTGATACAGTTGTAGTTGCGGATATTGTTGGTGCACTGGTATTTGTTGAGGATGTTGATGCAGTAGTGTTCGCTGATGTTGCTAATACTGTGGTAGATGCTAACGTTAATATGGTTGTTGCATTGGTATCATATGGTTTGGATGCTGCAAGCGTTTTTGTGGCTTAAAAACAAATGTCAGAAATTTAGTTCATATGCTTAAAACTGGTTGATCTAAGAATTATAATATTTAGAGCGAACAAGAATTGTTTTGGAAAGGTCGTCTGACAAAAATCCAACCTAAGACTCAATTTGGGGTAGGTTCTTCACGTTTTCCTTGCTATATACAAGCTAATTTATTTTCGGATCATGACCAATCTTTACGCAATGCCTTAACTCGTTATGGGTGACCGCTAATACTAAACTGCGATTTGGAGTTTGCGTTCAAAACTAAACGAAAGAGTAAATGTCTGTGTAACGCGCATATGCTTTAAAATATGCGTTTGTAGAATCTTTAAATTGAAGTCGCCACATAGACATTGGTTGTCATTCCTAAGGCTGTTTCTGAAAATGTTCGCACTTCCGCTTGGGGAAAGCGCCCTTTTTAAGCGCCTTTAAAACGTTACTTCTCGACGTTTGGAATTTTAATTGAGTTAAAATAACAAAAAGACAAATTTCTATTAATAGGCAGATTAAGCTTGAGGATGGGAACGTTAAAGATGAAGTAGAAATGGCGAATTTGTATTTGAGGGCATCACGCCTTTTAATCGTCATTTTCCTGTTATTTTCAACGTTCCCTCCTCATTTTAAATCTTCCATATCGGAGAAATTGACCGAAAGCAGACGCTACGAAATATCACGAATGTCAATGACGAGCATAACGAATCTCCTAGCCGCATTGGGAGCCGTAGTCCAATCTAAACTTCTCTATTATAGCGTGTGCGTTGATGTGAATATAATGCACCATATGCATGGGGTCCTGTCGGCCGGCTTGTGAAATGGCCGACGTTTATTGAAGAACATACACGCTTACAGATACGACTATATACACAAGAGGTAAAGAGTTGCATTATCATGTATAAAACAATTACAGACATACCCTGTGAAGCAAGTATCGTCACCAAACAGCTCATGAACCACATCATTTTGGGAGAAGGTTTCGCCTTTACAATCTTAGACATCGAGATTATGCTTCTGGATATCTTAGACATCGAGATTATGCTTCTGGATATTAAACCCCAAAAGTAAATGCCCAATATTACCTTGCAACCGTGAATTTAATTAAAAAGATTTAATTAGGTAGGCTATCGAGCCGAAAGCAGACAATTCTCTTCTAAGTTCAGACCGCGGAAAGCAAACAATTCTTGGCTTAGTTCAAAGGCTTGGAATGGCCGTTATTCTGTACATATTTAGCTAACCGCTATTTTGATTAGCTGGGGTTCCGGCTGCGTCATGCGTGTATTAAAATTGTAAATACAAACAGCCTGCATGTGTTCCTATTATTAAATTCAAGTACAATAATCGAATTTAAAATTCGCAATCCGTATCGGCAAAGTATAATTATAAGGAATAAACTATCGTACACAATTCAAACTTAAGCCAGGAACAGTTGATAAAATTGTATCAATTATCGATAGGTTTTTTCCACCGGGTGTGATTGCCAGTGGAAAATCGTTCGTTAAAATTCAGAAATTGGCGGATTAATAAACGATAGCTAATAAGATAATCCAGAACTGTAACCCAGTAACTGCAGAAAAATTATTTATCCCTGTTTCTAGGAAACCTCAAACAAAGATTAGACTCTTTATTTTGCCTGAAATGTTTTACTGTAAATTTTAGGCAATTGCTGAACAACATAAGACATATATTTGGTTGATGGATTGATGGGGATTTTAAATTACAATTCACATAATCCCAGGGATTTATATTACAATCCCAGTAATCACGAAATAGTTCTTTTAACTATATATAACTGCAGACAGAGCCTGTTAATTTCAAATCGAAATATATATTGATCAAATTTGACAATCATCAATCAAATCAATTTGCGGTACCCCTTTTAAGCAATCAGCGACGTGCATGGACGACGTCATCAATATAACGGGTCATTGAAATAAAATGGATAATTAAAAACCTATGAGAGATTCAGCCGTCGTCCACATTCTGTTTCCAAGGGCAAATCTTAAGCCTAGCCTCCATTTGTCGTAATTGTTGTGAACAAATCATTTTTGTCAATGAGAAATAGTCCAGATGTAAATTTCTAAAGAATTGAATGAACCAAATGTTTCAACGTCTTATTTCTCACAACATTCATGATTCATACGATACGGTAATTATACTATAACTTTCATAGTACGCGCGTGCTGATTGGTCGAGAAGCGTGTTTCTTGAACCGGTATAGAAACACGCGACTTTTACCGCCGAAATTGACATGCGAAGTAATGTAATGAGAATTTGTAATTTAATCTTTTAATTTAAAAAAATCTTTTTATTGAGTTATATTATAAAAGAAATAGAAAATATTTTTCCTGTATTTGTATACAGTTATAGAAACACTTGTGGAAGTTTGGGAGAAGTCGAAATAACGTGTAAAATCCCAATGATTATTTCTCGTTTTTCCAAACTCTCACGCGTGTTTATGTAACTATATAGAAACATGCAAAATGTTTTCTATTTTTTAATTATACAACTCCCTATCACAGCATCTATTTAAAGGTGTGTTTCAGCCGCGTTTCCGTCCCACGTCATTACACGTTTTAACGTTACTGGTTGTACATGACGACTTAACGCACTATTAGTCAATCAGAGCCTGAATTCGTTGATAATATAATTAAAACAAGTTATGAAAACAATTCGCAAACTCAGCTTCGCCTAATTACAACTGGCAACACACATTATGAGTCGTTGGATCATCAAAAGCCATGCTAAAAACGAGCTAAACGAACTTCTCTAAATGAACGTCTGCTAAATGAACGTCTTCTAAATGAACGTCTTCTAAATGAACGTCTTCTAAATGAACGTCTTCTAAATGAACGTCTTCTAAATGAATGAACGTCTTCTAAATGAATGGACGTCTTCTAAATGAACGTCTTCTAAATGAACGTCTTCTAAATGAACGTCTTCTAAATGAACGTTTTCTAAATGAACGTCTTCTAAATGAACGTCTTCTAAATGAATTAACGTCTTCTATGAACGTCTTCTAAATGAACGTCTTCTAAATGAACGTCTTCTAAATGAACATCTTCTAAATGAACGTCTTCTAAATGAACGTCTTCTAAATGAACGTCTTCTAAATGAACGTCTTCTAAACGAATGAACGTCTTCTAAATGAATGAACGTCTTCTAAATTAATGAACGTCTTCTAAATTAATGAACGTCATCTAAATAAACGTCTTCTAAATGAACGTATACACTTTTTATTTAACATTGTACATCTTAATGCAAATATATTGAAAAAAATATATACAATATATGGCAAGTGTTCTAAATGTGCCTGCATGTTTACACATATTCGTACAAATCAAGCATTAAAATATAGTGTATGTTCTTCTACACACTTTGTTTTCTTCAGAGGAGCGTGTAATTGAAGAATAGATCTAGAAATATTCCATGTTTAATATATTTTATGTAAATTTAATGATTTCGCAATGGGATTTTGGTCTCCCTCAATGATCACAGCCTCTTTAAGTTTAATGTTTTATCGATTGATTACACAATCGATGGAATTTTGATAGTCTATTCAAAATCTATATCATGATTGTGTCATCGATAGATAGAGCAATGTTGTAATAATTTAATCTCAATCAATTTGTCCTTACTACTTAAAACTATAATGTTCTTTCACTACTAGTATATCTGTGTCAAGATATTGTGCTCCTGCAAAGATGACGTATCACATAATCCGTCCGCCATTTTGGGCGTCTTTTATCCAACCGATTACTAAAAATCCTTGAAACTTTGCACGTCTTTAAAAATCCAGCCGAAAATATGAGCAAAAATAATACAATATCAGTTGCCTTCTATATGATCATTTTTTCATGACTATCAGTTTTCTAATTTGCTAACAAAATGGCCAAAGACAAATAGAACAAACTGACGTCCCTTGCAAGAGCTCAATAGATTGAATTTTGGTTTAACGGCAAATCCACAGTCTTCGATGGTCAGCGTTGCTCTGTGGTTGTGGATTTCAGTATTAGACTCCATCAGAGTTTCGAGTCAGACTGTATATTCAGAAAAAAAGACATGTTATCAAAACTGACGTATGTGTTAAAAGCTTCAGATGCACGCAAGCAAATCAAGGACTAGTCTACGATCGTTTTCTTACCGTTGATGCACTGTCTGTAATAGTCTTCAGCACCTTGATAAAACACAAAATTTATTGAGAAAGCATCCTTGCAGAGAATATGTAGTAACGTAACTAATAATGGCTCAGAATGGGCAAATCCTAACCCAAGGGCGGGGGGAGGTGTCTAGAATGTACTGTACTAGAATTAGGGGAAGTTGTAAGGTTACTAGGTTGTAACATGGTAATGGAGAACCCTTTCAATATTTTGCCAGGGCCCCAGATTAATGTCATGTCGAATATGCCGCATATTTGTACAGTGTTTACAAGTTTCTCGTTTGTACAGTTGCAGAGTTTTGACTGAAATATCCTGACAAGAGAGGCCATATATACAAACAAAAATCGACTTACTTTAAATATATATTTGTAAAGATCTTTGGATGAAACGACTCCTTCTCGATCGCTTCTCATCTTGTTAACGCAGTCGAAGACATCCACAACAGATTTCTTGTCGCTCTCTGTGTATACGCGTAGCCCAATAGCCGTTGCTATGGCAACCCCCGCATAACCTTGGCCATTTCTATAAATTTAATAGTTGACAAATACTATTCAATTCAATCTACGTCGATGGGTTTTATTGACGGAAGAAATGACGTACTTGCAGTGTACAACGACTGGTGATTTAGGATTTTCCATTCTCGACTTATCGACACTTCGCATGAACTGGACAAATCCTTTCACATCAGGGAATCCTTCATCCGGCCAGGATTTGAAGCGGAAATGGCGAAGTGTTTTGGTTAAATCGTTTTCCTTTAAAAAACAGGTATTCTTGCAATCAAGATAAATGTTAAGTGCAGAAAAGAAACAGTTTTCTGTGAGCAGAAAACAGATTTTAGAAACTGTTTCCTGCTAACCGTCGGTCACAGTAAAATATCACTAAACAAGCCAGTTGTCGGCTAAAAACTGTAGGGAATATTGGCACTGAACTCCTTTTAGATTTAAAGATGGTGAAAGAGTTATCTCCCCAGTTTCTAAAGGTCATTGCATAAAACGGTCCCAGTTTCTAAATAACATTGCATCAAATTTGCACAAATTGTGTTATCAACCAATAACCGTCAACCAATAACCAAGTTTTGATAATTTTAACGGCTGTACTAGAAAGAAATATACTGTACCTGACTGTTTTTCAAGATAAACGTGGTGATGTTGAATGTTGCATTAGTCTCTGACCTCTCTGTTTTCACTTGCATATGCCCGTAAATGGTCAAGGAATTCTCGTGATCCATCCAGTAATTATGGAAGTTTTCCTACGATTGCAAAAATTTAATGAATGATAATAAGTAATTTAAGGCGCTGTTACACCATGCAACTTTCCTTGCAACTTGCAATGCAATTCTACGTCTAAGGTATCTGAAGTTGTCAAATACGAACATTTCTTACGATCGATAACGTTTTCTGAGCATATCGAACACTCTTTACCATCCCTCAAAATTAGAATTGCAATGCAAGTTGCAAGGAAAGTTGCATAGTGTAACAGTACCTTTAATAATAGGCAAAATTTCCGTTGATTTGGAAAAGAAAAAGCCCTCCCAGCACAAAAAATCTTTACTGGTTTGAGTGGAGTTTTGAAGATTGCCAGACTTCTAGACCATGAATTATGAATTCATTGAAATGGTGTTTAATTATATATACGAACTAATATTTACGTACCAAGTCCTTCTCGGAATCGTTGACCATCACAATAGTTGAGACATCAAGTTGCCACACCATTGACCAGAAGTCTCTCATTGTGTTTGGCAAAGGGTGTTGTGTTGCAATAAAACTGTTCGCACCATGGTGATCCTACATGAAGTAGTTGAATTATACAGAAATCGTTCGTTAAGTTCAAATAACACAGAGCAGAAACTCGGAAGAGCAAAATCCTAAGTTCGCTTTGAGAGTGACACGCCTTTGGCAGTCTAAACATCGCGTTTAAAAGTATTGAAATTATCCACCAAAACTTTACCTTTACGAAATTGGCGTTGATATAATCATTTTCTCCCTCTAATTTGACCCTCGTCTCCGGTTCTAGGTATGTTTGGGAAAATATTTAGTAAAATATACAACCGAATTGTCAAACGCGGAAACCAAATTTATCCCAGCAAAGAATTCACACGTTTTCCAATTAATTTCCGTATCACATTTTCAACTAGAATTTAAATTTTGCTTATTGCATCGTTTATGCAACTTTTCCCTTGTAACATTGGTATAATGATATTTTAATACCATGCATAAAAATGCATTCACAGACATAACACGCTATGCAGACGTTACTTTACTTTATCACAACCCAACATCTCTTAGTAATAGTGCATAAGACTCAGATGTATATATGAAATGAATATTGTGATGATGCTACTCTGAGTCACCAACCGGCTAAGCTCACCAAAAGGTCGCGGGTTCAAACGCGGGTTCTACCCAAACCAAAGATTCGATTCACGCCGTGGTCAAGCTAATTTTTCAGCTTAGCTTAAACTCAGAGTAGCATCATCACAATATTCATTCCAACAGTTCTTTCAGATAATGGAATGACTTACTTGGTACATTACTGGCTTCTCTGTTCTTATCGATAGTAGCGTTTGGGTATGTCTTCGGATCTGTCTTTGTTTGATCCAAGTCCTAAAAATGAAATTTTTATCTCATCAGGTTTAAGAAGTATCACGCGTGAATATATGGTAAAGAGAAACGAAACGTCATGTTGCATTTTTCATCTAGCTTTACGGCGAGAAGCACCGACGTGAAAATGTAAGTCTACACATATATAAGAATTCCCATTCTGTACGAGGGACGCCATTTTGAATTTTATATTCATCCTAATGTATCATGGGTGACTCCGAACATGATTGAGTTGTTATAAAGACGCAACAATGACGTTTCCTGAATAGGGGTTCCTACTCCGTTCAACCCATAATGCATCGTAATTCAAGATGGCGTTGCATTTTGTAAATAAGCAAATTGTGTGGATCACCTCGTATTCTTTGTTTCTCTTGTCCTCCCCACCCGTATCTTCATTTAACTTTGCTACATCTTGTATAGCCATGTGAACTGGAGCGGGTGGGATAACTAAGAGTGTTCCGGGGGGTGCGACACTAGGTTTTTTCTCCTCTTTGATCGGTTCGATTGCAACATCAGCCACTGTCATTCCTTGAGGGAATACAACAGTGAATAATTCCTCAAAGTCGAGCCTTTGTAATCACACGAAAACCTCGACCTTGACTAATAATCTGACCTCGGATTATTACGCGTAAGCACCTAAGCGGGCTTTTCAAAATGGCGGCGAGTATTATTTTTTGTCAACGTGGATATGACATGAATAAGACTCGACTAATGAGGAAAAAACTCGACAAACGTAACATTGCGAGACTGCACAACTCTTTTACCAATATGCCCGGTGTAATCGTTTACGTCTAGCAAAATATGAAATTGATTGTGATTTATATCATTGATTTCTTTATCAATGACAATAACAATGAAAAACGCGCTCATTTTATGTGTTTACTGTTACGCGGAACTGACCAGTGCTTGCTTGAGTAAAAAAAGTTTTTTTTTTAAAGCAACGATTCAGACTTGAAGGTAGTAGAAATTTGCCATAAGATGAACGAGTTTTGCCCTTTCGACTTCCGGCGAAAGACAGGGAACCTCGTGATTGGGTTTCAAATCTTTGTGGAAAACGTAGTCAATGGATGAATCTTGTGTATGTACCTAATTCATCGTCAGTGTCCTCTCCTTCCCCAAGTGGTGCTTTCTTCCCTTCCTCTGTACCATCACTTAGCTGTTTGTTGTCGTCATTCTCAGGCTGTGTCTTAAGAGAGGCCTGGACTTTCTTTTTCACCAAAGACTCGTCAGGTTGATCTTTGAACGTCGAGATTCTTTCTGATACCTGCAGGTATTGTATATAAAAACATAAATAAACCTAACTACAAAAGCTTTGGATGTGAGCGGACCCTGTGGGAGGAACTAGTTTTCGATTATAACTCGATGGTATTTCTAATAGAAAATGATGATCTATCCTACAGATCTTCTTCAATAGCCGTCATACTGTTTTATTTGGAATTCTTGTCTTGAAGTATCCACGCCCTAAAGTATTTTATTTTTATGGAGGGGTGACCTTTATTAGCTTTGGCATACTCTGAACGACTATTCAAATGTTTTCAAATTCAAATGTTATGTAGGAATAGCACTGAATGCATTCTTCAAACTTATTTCCTTCTTTTGCCTATATTCCCGCTTCTATATTAGAGGCGTTTTCACTAAGTGGTAATAATTAACTCGTGGACCCTGACTTTCGGTATTACGTCCCTGCTTGACTTACCGGCGTGTGCGTTCCTTCATTTTCGTCAAATCCATCGTTGACGAGAACTGTGGACTCCTTTTTGGCGCCGTCGATGTTATCCATGGCAAAATAGTTTGGGCTTCGTTCAACATCCTTGTTATCTGGCTTCCTGTGAGTGCAGCACTTGAAAAAACAAAGAATGGTTTAGGTTAGTGTTTACACAAAAATCTATTATAACTTAACTTATTGACTGTGAAAGCAATGAATTTCTACGGACCGAGATATTTATAACTCGAAATTTACATAGCGGGACAAATCGTCAGGCTGGCTACGCCACTGTTTCTACCAGGCAGAATGTTCTTAACTTCAATCATAGACAAATTTGCTGGGACAAACATGGAAAAAATTTGAAAAATATTTACATATCCTTCATGTATAAACCGGAGTTATACCAGTGGGCTCGTAACGGAGCCGGAGAGGGAGGGGGGATTACAAATAGGAGCAAGAAGAACGTACCAGGTAGATTACGGCAATCACCAGGATAATTCCTAAGGTTATTCCAACAGCCAACCATATTTTCTCAGTTTCAGTCAAGCTCTCCGGCTTAGGCGCCTTTTTACCACCAAATTTAACGTTAGTTATCTAAACAAGACGGATAATGATTTTATCAAGAAACTAGTATTCTCTTTAAAGACCGTTAATGGATTCCCAATGCAATCTTACTTTGTCCTCAAACAGATTTCCTAGTTTTCTCAACAGTCCGGTATCGAGCAAGTCCTTCAATCCTTCCCCGGCTGCTATGGTAACCTCATCTGCGTCTGGGCCGATCACGGAAAACCAAACATCGATCTCCTCTATGTTATGATCCGGGTTCGCGCAATTCTTGGCGCCGTTCACGATGTATATATCAGTGGGTTTCAATTGATTACCTTTTTGGTCATACGATCTCTCCGCGATCTTCTCCCTAAAGTGTTCCTTGATTACCGTGCAGAATTCTTTCCACGTATATTTCATTGTGACAATCACATACACGTTAGGTTCAGGTACAGATGGTTTTTCAGTCGGCTCTGGCATACTCGTTTGTCCTTTTGGGTCAGACATAAAAGATTTCACATCTACTTCGAATGCACCAAGTGTTCCATCTTGTATTTTATCCTGGACTACATTTCCAGCATTTTTTTTTGAAATGCCATTAGGATCTGGTCCTTTCACTCCAAACACCAACTTAGATTTGGTGATCAGACTGCCGCATTTTAAATCTTCAACCGTCAAGCTACATTCTTGTTTTGCAAATGCATCGATACCACAAATTTGAGACTTCCAATAGTTTTGGAAAGTGAAAAAGTGAATCGATCGCTTCTCTGTGTATTCCTTAGAACAATCATCAAGTAGTTGACGTAATATTTTTGATTCTTGTTTCTGTTCCTCAGTTTGACCGCTGGATTCGGTGTTGATTTTAGTCAGTGTCATAAATATGAAATATTTATAGTAGGTTTTGTCTTGGACGAATGGGGTTGGGGTTCGGGAAGCTGATGCTTCAGGTCTTGTGGCAACTGACGATGTTGGTTTAATGTCAAATGATGATGTTGGTTTGGGGAAAAATGATGATGTTGGTTTAATTTCAAATGACGATGTTGGTTTAATTTCAAATGACGATGTTGGTTTAATGTCAAATGATGATGTTGGTTTGGGGACAAATGATGATGTTGGTTTAATTTCAAATGACGATGTTGGTTTAATTTCAAATGACGATGTTGGTTTAATGTCAAATGATGATGTTGGTTTGGGGACAAATGATAATGTTGGTTTAATTTCAAATAATGATGTTGTTTTAGGGGGGGCGAACAATGATGGAGAAATTCCACTAACATTTCCTGTTACAAAAGGCACGGATGAATTAAGACTGTGTGTTGCTGTTGGAGCAATTCTACTAGGAATTCCTGTTATAACAGGCCCGGATGAATTAAGACTGTGTGTTGCCGTTTGAGTAATTCCACTAGAAATTACTGTTACGACAGGCCCGGATGAATTAAGACTGTATGTTGCCGCGGAATCATTTCCACTACCATTTCCTGTTACAAAAGGCACGGATGAATTAAGACTGTGTGTTGCCGTTTGAGTAATTCCACTAGAATTTACTGTTATAACAGGCCCGGATGAATGAAGACTGTATGTTGCCGCGGAATCATTTCCACTACCATTGTACAAAAGGCACGGATGAATTAAGACTGTGTGTTGCCGTTTGAGTAATTCCAACTAGAATTTACTGTTATAACAGGCCCGGATGAATGAAGACTGTATGTTGCCGCGGAATCATTTCCACTACCATTTCCTGTTACAAAAGGCACGGATGAATTAAGACTGTGTGTTGCCGTTTGAGTAATTCCACTAGAATTTACTGTTATAACAGGCCCGGATGAATGAAGACTGTATGTTGCCGCGGAATCATTTCCACTAGCATTTCCTGTTACAAAAGGCACGGATGAATTAAGACTGTGTGTTGCCGTTGGAGTAATTCCACTAGAATTTCCTGTTATAACAGGCCCGGATGAATTAAGACTGTGTGTTGCCGTTGGAGTAATTCCACTAGAATTTACTGTTATAACAGGCCCGGATGAATTAAGACTGTGTGTTGCCGTTGGAGTAATTCCACTAGAATTTCCTGTTACAAAAGGCACGGATGAATTAAGACTGTGTGTTGCCGCGGAATCATTTCCACTAGAATTTCTTGATACACCAGGCGTAGGCATATAGGCATGACTTGCTGCCGCCACAGCAGACGAGCTGGTGATCTGGGTGGTCACAACTTGTACTGTGAAAAATGCGCATGTATTATAATATTGGATGTAATTGGATGGATATTTAACAAGTCAAAATGTCGCTATATCTTTTTGCATGCAGTGAATTGTGGTTTTAATGAAAAACATAGAAACATAGTTTCCATAGAAACAGTTCCTTATAGTCAATTCGCAAAGAATTGTTCCAGAACTTCATTCGGTAATGTTTTTTATCACGATAAATTCTAAAATTGATCTGCGGACATAATATTTCATAGCATTATTGCTGAAGTATGGAATTTCATGCAGAAATCAGTGCAGGATATACTATGGATGGAGTGTGTTCAATTAATATACATAGGATATTACACGCGGTTGCGAGTAAATATGGATTATAGCCTAAACTTTAAAGTAGAATAAATTTTACTTATCTATGTTTTAATTTGTATTTCCAACATTAATTTCGTTTTATATACGAAGGAAAGACCCTTTGTATTTTCACCATAGCAAAAATAAAAATGGCGGGAAAATTTTTGAAATTCGTTATGTCATCCCTAAAACGTGACATACGGAAAATATCCGCACTGTACCCCGGATGTAGTGGCGTATGAGCTCTACGAGTGTTTTAGTTCTCAGTAAAATACCCTCATCCATAAAATAAATTTAGATACTCCCACGCAGATAAACAATTTGTCTACTGCTCAATTGTAAATTGTCTATTCCAGATGAATCAGAGGAATATTTTCAGCAGGGTAACCAAGATACGCAAAAAACAATAATACATCTATTTCTTTCACTTACACCTTTTTTGGTCATCATCAGTTCATTCAATACGCGCCAATTTGTGAGCGGTAAAATTTACAGCAAGTTAGTGTTGAAAAGATCTATACAAGATCTTTCATATATATATATAACATTAATACGAAATAGCAATTCCCAAGAACTGAAAACTGATAGGTAGACAATGGTAATACCACAATGGTAACAGTATTCTCACTGTGAGTTTCACCAAACAATACCATAATAATAAAGAAAAACATGGGTGTATCAGATCCCATTAAAGTAATCGCTTCACACTCAATGAATAAGTTGATATAAAGGCATGAGTGAAACAGTATTTTTTCACATTTTGCTACAAAGACGGCCTGCCCTGCGGAGGAGTTTTTCATTACACCAAGGTATTGTTCGGTGGAGCGAGCAATGGGAATATATTACCATGCAGACTGTGAAAACCGTAAAAAATTCGTTTCCTCAGATTCACTTTGAACCAATTTTTTTTAATCAATTGTTTGGCTGCTTTTACCAAATAAAGATTTGGGTTTTTAAACACGAAATTTTAATATGAAAAGTACAACATGAAATTTGTCGTTCGTTACTGGTTAGTAGCCACGTACGTACTTGCTTTTCTTAGCCTAGCTCATTTTATTTTTAAGGAAATTGCATGGACCTACTGGGCGCCATCGCTGACTCGCTGTAACGATACATATCTTTAAACTAAATACTGTTTTATTTTTAACCCACGGTCAATATGTTAACTGTTTAAGTAAACATAATACTAGTTCCCTCGCAACCGCGACTTTCTTGCAAAAGGCGAATTGTTCTCCGTTGCGTCCCTGTTTTAGTTTATCTGGTGGATAATAAATGTCTACCGTACTCTTTTGAGACAAAACACCCTTCTAAATTAGCTTTCACTTGCCTGCAAACTGCTAGCAAGTTTGTGCGAAAATATTAAACACCACGCTTGAATAAACACTGCTCTTTTTTCTCACGGTCACAGGAAATATTTGAAACATGCATTACGAAGCAATTCAAGTACTTAATTCGTCACGAGAGACTTACAGCTTTTACACTGGATGTTCCATTTTCATGAAACGATATAGCTACGTACTGAAGTTTATATTTTTCGATATGTATTAAAATTAGTTTTAAATTTGACGATATATTTGGTTTGGCACTTTCGAAACATCTGAAGTGGGCGGCAATTATGATTCCCTTAGTGGGCAGGTGAAAAAGATGTAGAAATATTTACTAGAGCACCATAGTTCCAGTTTCGAGTTTGCTAAAAATCTGACAGTATTTTGTAAATAAAATTGTCCGTTTGAGGATTTCTTCGCATTCCTTGTACGAAATCTAATCCAGCGAGAAACTCGTGCATGACAATCAAGGCTTATCAATAAATAAAGATATCCGGCCTAAATTTACACATAAAAAGCTATGCGGTCCAAAAATGAACCTTTTCCTCATTTTTGGCTTGTTCAAAAAAGTCAACCCATGTATCGTTGAATTTGCGTGCAGTATATATAGCAAGTAGTATACATACCACATTTTAACACTAAAATAAAAGGCTTCCAAAAGCTTTTAGGTATTTCCGCTTTATATGGACTTGGATATCATTTAGGTATTTATTTTGGCTATTCAGTAATTTTAGTGTCGCTTTTTCGTGATCTTGAAAAGGAATTTGTCATGAATGTCTGGCTTTTATCGCCAAACAAATTGACGAAATATCGCAATAAATATGACGCAAGAATAACAAGTGAAATATAGTCAAGTTTGTTAGGAATGTCAGAATTATGTAATCTTAAAACAAGGTATATATGCGTTCTAAGTCTTTTGAGAGAACATATAAGACGTATATACTCGCTAAAACTTATATATTCAAAAAATATTTTCAAATATAGTAAAATTTCATAATTTTTGTATTGTTGACATTATAGGACAGTAAGGTCTAACGACACTCGTGTACGTTGTTCGCAAGGTAATAACAGAAGACTATGAGTTGATCTGATTTCTCAAAGCATTAATCCGACCTTTAGACAAGTGCCAATAGATTGTAATGTGGACACTAAATTCTTGTCCTATATATAATTCGAGTTAAGGCCTAGGCCTGGTTGTGGTAGGCAACGATACGAACGCAAAATCAACAACATTTTTCTATGCCTGTCAAACAAAACGCAGGCAAGAGGTGTCGAATAACATTATTTTATATAAAATCCTTCCGGTTGTCATAAAGTGAATCATATACGTATTGCATGGAGATTGCTATTTCCGAGCCTTTTGGCAATATTCATGTGCTAACTTGCATGCCCACACAGGTTAGTTTCGAAATGCCAAGACTAATGGACACACTGTTAGCGTCGGTTTATCAAAAATTAATCCGTTTTATTGACTTTATTAATGGCTGCGAACTTCATATTAAAATGAAGATGAACTATGAGGCAAATCAGCTTATAAAGGCATTTTAAAAGGTGAAATTATTGCAATAAGGGCTTATCATATCGGTTAAACGCATATATATCGGAGAGAAGTTACTCTCATAAATTTCGAGCCGGGAAGAAATATTTAATTGTAACAAATGGAAAATGCGTTACGTTTGCATTTGACCACCTGTACGACAATGTAACATTTTATAGGCCTTGTTTTAGCGCTTTCTATTAATATGTGCATAAGTCATTTCGATAGAGTATAAACCGTGATATCGTCCTAAACTTTACATACCTTTTGAAACCAGTACGGTAAACACGCACAGCGTAATCCACATCATTTTGGAAGAGTCTTTCGGGCACATAAACAGCTGGAAAGGTATAAACTTCGGTCGTCAAAGCCTGAGTAAGCTTTGCCTCGTTGTTTTCCGTTAATCCCTAAAGGAAATGTTCGAAATTGCTTCGTGAATGAGGACTTAATGAAATCGATAATAAGAATACAACTTTAGGCCGAAAGTAAACATTAAACGTCCCGTGAGCAAGCCCGAATATAATGATACGGATTAGACAACACCCTGTATAAACAAAATTATGTACAGAATCCAGAGGCTGTTGACTCTCTGAGCTGCAACGTTTTACAATATAATCCGGTCAATATAATGGCTAAGTATCCCTTATAACTCGCTTACCTTGGGATCGTTTTCGCCAATCCTTTAAGAGACTGTATCAGCTATATGACTGAAGAGTGTTTTCAGGAAGCTTTGACAATCTTGCCTCGCGCGCGGCGATTCTACTAATAGTCACATGTGATGATTTTACTCCGGTCGTTCACAACAAACTTCTCATGTTACAATAAAAATGACTCCCACGCATTTGAACTATCGGTAGAATGCAAATAGAATAGATATGGAGGTCTCGGAATTCTTAAGTGTTGTGAAGTCTGAAGTCTAAACTGCAGCTGTGAAATATATATATATACTAAGTTAATATGCTCTGACTTCTGGGACCTCAAAGGTTTGAAAACGATGTTTCTTCCACATCCATGCAGTCATTCATTCATTTGTCGAAGGTAGTCCGTATTGTCGGTATTGCATGAGTCATTGCGAGGACCCCCATCTTTAATACCGTCATTCGCGTCGCTTGAAAATGCTATAAAAGAGTCCATTATGGGGAAATTATAATCCTAAATCGCCAGGATTTTTCCAATTTCAAGCGTAATCGGTCTTGTATATTTTTAACCGTTGCCTTATATATAATTATATGAAATATCGATCAACAATAACAACTATGCAAGACTCACGCGGGTGGCTAAAGTTGACCTTAGCCATGTGAGATATTTTTTTATTGGAATATGTAAATAACTACTTTAACCGCTTTTACCCAGGACGGTGTTGCTTAATGTGAGTAAATGTATCATGCATCACCGAAGTCATTCCTATTTATTAGCTTGAGATGGAAAGAGGGGACGTGTTTTGTAATTTCAATCCGGTGCATTATTTTACGATACGTGTGGTTGCCTGAATGGTTGTTTTTCTATCATATTTACACGTATTTTAAATTACATATTTGGTCTACATTTTTTCTAGCTTCTAGAAAATTGAGGATTAACATTGACGCGTATATACATATATGCATGCATGTGGCACATTCCAAGTTGAAATGTTTGTGCGTTTGTCTGCGTTTTATAGATTTAAATATCATATTTCATTGCATGAATTTGAACATGAATTTGAAGAAATTCACACACGCTATCCGTTTTTTGACCTACGCAGAGACGGCAGGGACTTTAGTACCAAACGTCCTAATTTTAAGTCGGTTAGACATTTTACGCAACAGAAGTTTCGCCCATTTTAAAGCCTGATTCCAAGAACGCGTTTTCGTAGCGAAATTTTCTATTGAATTTGAAACCACCCGATTCTACTAGTACTTGTTTGCGATTATAATGACATCAAAAGCAGAAAGCTGGATATTACACGAAGTCTGATTGACTGGTTAGTTTTGTGCAGCCAATCAAACTTCGTGTAAAATCAGACTTACTCCGTTTGACGTCATTATGGGAAAGGTTTATTCAACAAAAAAGGCGAAATATTTTGTATTTTGCTAGAAAATTTCGTTCATCGAATCAAGGTTTGATATATGATACTAATCTTCATGAAATAGCAAAATATGTCAAACGTGCCCTGTCAGGCTTGTATTTAAATAATTTATCCAAAGATGACCAATTTATATGTATATGGATCTCAAAGGTAGTCGGCATGTCTACGAGCCTGATAGCTTCGTAGATCACGTTCCTGTTCGTATTTTATTTATTTTTGCTTTATTCTGATTTATTTATATATTTGACACATTGGAAACGACTAAATCGGTCAGTTATATAAGGTCACGGCAAATTTGTACATCAATCAGTATCTGTCTTTTTTGACTAACCCTGTATCACGTCTCACTTTTCAAATTTCCCTTCCGTAGGCTTACGATAATACCCATTCCAATGTCAACGAAAACGTAATTTCAAATGGGGCATTTTAGGGGGACACACTGTACATTGTTCTTGTCATGGTCATTAAATATTGGAGAGGGTGCTAATTAAGGGGAATATTCGAAATGTAAATAGTTTGGGGTGAGTAACTATGATTTATTTCCAGATTACATAGTGTTGTGAAATACGAAAAGCGTACACAAACTTCAAAGTCGTTTTTGGTGTATAAGATTTGGATCTATTTAACAGTTATTCTGCGAACTCGAGTGGTATATGAGCTGATATTATATACACAAACTTTGTCGCCCTTTCGGTGCATTTTGGTGTGCTATTATCAACTAAAGCTTGGATTTCTATTTCACTCAACTCCCCAAATCTTTCAGCCATTTTGTTTACTTTCTCTACTAGACAGATATGAGCTAATATCTATCTAGTAGCCAACCAATGAAATTGCAGCATACTAGCTCATATCTGGCGCTTGTGTGTATAATAATATGATTTATTGCTAATGCAAATCCCTAACATAAAATCCTGATCTCCCCTCCATCTGTATATACTGGCTCTTGACTTCTCTAGAGTATCTCTGGTCGTTTTTTTTTCGCCCGACTCAAGTTGAGGAATGGTTAATTCTACTTCGAAATTGCATTGATATGTGCTTTTTTTATATCCTTTTTTGACCTTTGGGAGTTGAGACACTGCGAGAGCGATTCAACATCTGTCTGAGGTGTAAGAGAAAACTTTAGTGCGTTCAAGGTTCTTCAAGCTTTATGCGTGGGGCTGCATGTCAGCTCTGTAACTTTAATCCAATGTAAAATTATGCAAGCAAAGCATGCATAAATTTCCGCGTTTTCAGCGAAAAGCGTCGTTTTTATCATTGTATGAATCATCGACGACCAGACACTCGTACGATTGTATTATGAACAATTCATGAAAGAGTTCAATTTTCAGCTCGAAAATAAATAAAGATGGAATTGAGGTTTGCATGTTAACATACGGTTTGTTTACGTTTTGAACTTCTAAACGTTTAAAATACGTTGTTTTGTCTGAATATCAAACAGCATTTAGGTTTCGCTATGCCTTTAAATGAATATGAAGTAGTGTTTTTGATCAGGAAATCCAGTGTTCTCGCGATATCAATGTCCTGCAAATGTTTAAGAACGCTATATCATGAGCTTTACTATGGAATGTTCTATTGAAACAAGCCATGTAACTATGGTATACATATAAACAAACTATGACGGGCATCGCGGTGGATTAAATGATAGCTCGATTTGCATATTCAAATTTTTACTAGAAAGTCTGTAAACAAGAATTTAAACTATTTTGAATGTAGGGTAGGTAGGCGACAGGAAATGGATTTTTCAGGAAAATGTGGGTAGATAGTCGCCAATAGCGACAATAAAAATAATAATATTAGTATAATAATATAATTTAGCAAATACCGTGAAATGTGCCGAATATTATAAACCGTGGACTTCGCATTTAATTTGAAGTTTTTTTCATGCAAAAGTCGTGTTGGTTGGCAAAGAAAAGTGCAGTTAATACTTCGTAAGAGAGCAAGAATAAAAAAAGCACGGGTACTTGTATGGTCAAATGATAAAAGTTTTATATTTCATACATTTTATATTAATTCAAATGTCAGATTTCATGACAACATGCTCGCACGCGGAGGTGTTAACCGGGATCCGAAGTTTCCAGAAGTTTCGAGCCTCCTGAGGTGCACACCACGAACCGGAAGTATGTTTGGTTTTCCTCTCATGCCATTTCCGGAACGTTTGTTGTAGTTAATTTCTTCCCACAAACTAAGAAACATTTAAAATACTCCCTTATTTATGAAAGAGAAAAATTACACATTCTTGTGCATCACGAGCAATTTTCGGTGGCCATTTTAAAATTCCTGAACTAACTGGTGCGTTCGGACGTCAGCATGCAGGCTAGGTCGAAAAAAAGATTTCCTTCTCGAACCAAACAGAAAACCACTTTTACTCTAAACATGAGCTCGTTCTAGAAGATATCTTTCCAAGGGTCAGTTCGTCATTCAGTTTGAGAAATGAAATATTTTCCGCATGGATGAAATGCCTTTAGCATTTCATGACGTATATGCATGTGATAACCAAGTCGTAAATGATATTGCATGTGAAAATCTTAAAAAAGTATTCTTATTGGTTGCCGTAGTATTTCAAAATTGCTACCGTCATTTGTTGTTATTGTCCCAGTGAACTCTATGTGAACTGGAACGGTAACTGTGCCGCCATCTTTACATACATATACATACACACATACACTTTATTTCAACACGGAAAGAAACCATTAGTACATTGAAAATTTTTAACTATATACAGCCTAAATTATATAAAAGATAAGCACTGTTCTATCTGGTTGTCGTGTGGGAGTCGGTTAAACTAGAATATAATGATTCCAGACTACTTTTAAAATAAGTTAGAGATGGTGATAATCTTAAGGATTCTGGCAAGCTGTTTCAGAGAAATGCTCCACTAAAAGAAAATCAGCGCTTTAGCTGGTCAGTGTTAGGTTTAGGAATAAACAACTTAGGTGTTTGACCATTAAGGGTTTAAACATGCGTATAGCCTTCGGTTTTTGACGATTGAATGATAAATTATTCCACTTCAGCTTATCAAGAAGGACATTAGATGATACATAATATGTAGAACACGCTATGACACGTGCTGCCCTATTTTGTAGTTTTCTGTAGTCGATCACTCAGAGTAACTCCAAGCCCATCCCATACTGGGGCGCAGTAAGATAAAAAGGGTTCAACAAAGCCTTGATAAACTTTGAAGCCAAGACTGACAAGATTAATTAGGACAAGATAGTGAACTCTATAAACCCTGAAACTATCACTGAAGGTTATTTGGCCGCTATCTTTGAAGGCAATTTGAAGCCGAAATTGGTACCAGTGCCAATCCCTTTTTATTGTTTTTGTTCTCACTGTCGACGATTGCGCTGACTGAAAATGTAAGAAAAGTTATAGCTTCTATTATATGTACTTTGCGCCAAAATTAATACGTCCATGGTAAACTTAATTAAAGGGATATGGCAATATAAAATATTTCGGTATTGTTGAAAAGAAAATTTACACTTTTTATCAGAGCGACAGAGCCTTTTTACAAAATTTGTTTATCTTCCTTACTTCGCAAGATATTCGCGATAAAAAACATCGACTATCGAGATATATCCGCCATCTTGGTTTATAATGAGATCTAATTAATTACGTGAAGTCAAAAGCAGGGTTGACGCTTAAAAAATACCATGCAATTACATGTTTACGTTTTAGTTTAGAACTCTTACAATTCAAGCGTTATAATTTGAGATATGTGCGATTGTAACACTATGGAACTATCTCTTCGCTGGATCGTTAATTTGAAGTAACAAAACGAATTTTCACCCAGCTTACGACATAACACATATCAGAGCAAAAATATGCATATCCAAAATGGCGCATGGAAGATAATTTCATTGGAAAATATCTTGAGAAGTAATAAAGTTAACAAATTTTTGTACATAATCATGACGGTGTTTTAAAGTAGACAAAGATAATTTCTATTGCCGTATCCTTTAAGGACGAGCCTGCTAGCCTGCATATTTATGCGATAAGACAAAAGACAGTATTTTATCATCCGTGCAGAACTAAACATTTCATAATTACAACTCAGTGAGAACATTTCTTGATATCTTGCTCATCTTCATTAGTATTTTTGCACAAGTGAATATAACAAATCTTACATTCTGATTGGTCAAATTTGACGTATTATGCTGTTATATTCACCTTCATTTCAAAATGGCGGCTAGCCGTTTTTTGGACATTTTTTTAGAAAGAGATAAGCGAACAAATGCAGTTCTTGTGTCAATTCACTTGTGCAAAAATACTAAAACTTCGTGGAGGTGAATATTCCCCGATAACCACCTCGCCTTCGGCGAATAATTGTTATTGGGTATTTAGCCTTATAAGCTCGTAGAATTTTCCAAAACTTTCCGTTTGTGGACATAGTAGAAACAACATGCAGAGTGATTACAAATGTAATAATGTTTAATAACACGTATATAATATTCGTGGTCGTACAAAAATTTCACTTTTTTCAGTACCAATTAAAAAGTGCTACCACATTTGAGATTTTTTTTCGGATCTGATCTTAATATCTTGGAGATTTGCCAGTTTTTTTATATTCCTTTCGGCTCGGGGGCAGAATTTTAGGCTGTGGTGATTGTCTTTCAATTTGTCCATAATATGATGCATAATTTTGCGCGAGCGAAGAATCTGTTTTTTTGATTGTTGGTTTTCTCCAGCTCGGTGAACTAATATCATTAGTTTCTTCATTAAGGTCTTCTTTGTTACCAGATTCTTTGATATCAGATTCTTCCTCCTGGGCAAATATATCGGTGTTCTTGCATTGTTTTTGCACTGTTGGATGGTTATCCAGGTGTGTCTGTGTTGTCTCAAAGCGAACAGTTTCTTCCATTCTCTGCCCACTTTGCTTGGAAGATTCTTTTAAGTTTCTTGTAACGTTTTCTACATTTTCAGCATTACATTTCAGAACTTCCGTTTCAGACGGCCAGGGTATGACGCTCTCGTATGCATGGGCACCATAATCAACTTCGATTTCTTTCGGTGTTGCATCTACAGAAAAATCTGTCCGCGTTTTTTGTCTACCACTATCTTTATCAACATTGTTTGTTTCGTTTCGATCTATTATCTGAACTTCTTGAGATGAAGTTGGTAGCGTCCTCTGTGGCGTCATTTTTTCCAGTAGTTTTTTTATTTCGTTTAAACTTTCCATCGTTTTTACATTTCTCTCTTCAAACCGGTTTATGTTTTCTTCCTGATTATTCAATTGCTCTTGAACCAGGTTAACGATATTTTTTACAGTTTCTCCGTTCGTCTCAATCCTTTCCAATCTTTCCAGTTGTTTATTCATTGTTGCCAAATTTTGCTTTACCATATCCATCTCTTTTCTTATGTCGTCACAACTGTGACATTTCACTCTACGTAAATTACACACAGCTGTTTCGTGATGTAGTAAATCGTGTTTGTTTACTTCGATACGACAGCCTTCGTTGGGACAAACTGCCGGGGCAAACCCACAGTTTTTAACATGCATTTCAAGATCTCCCAGCTCAACAAACTTTCCACAACCACGGTCAAAGAAATCGCAGCGGATCTTTAATTCAGCCAATAAGCATTTCACGCCGCGTGATGCTTCGCTCAAAGTGTCAACAGTGAGTGGCTCCATACATGACGGACATGTTTGAGAGTTCATGAGATGTTGAGTGATACAGGAACGGCAAAATAGATGTTCATTTTGAGTGCACGAGACAGCATCTTTGATAACATTCGTACAAATGACGCAGTGGAACGTCTGACTGACATTGTGTTCGAATCGTTCGTCCTCATAACCAAGGCTGTACTGCGCCAATTTTGAAGCCATTTTAGTTTGATGCCCCTGGATACTCAGAAAGATGTCAGAATGAACCTGTACTAGTAAGAAATAAGTGTATAGGTTTTATGCGGAATTTTGAACAAACAAATTGTTATTTATCTAGTTCCTGCATTGTCAATATCATACTAGTAACGGTAGTCAGTGACGTAGCCAGCCTAATAATTTGGCTATGCATATTTCGGCAAGTCGTTAGAATTATTAAATTCTTTCGAAATTCATTGCTTTCACAGTCAATGAGAACCAAAATATTAGCATAGCATGACTAAATTGTCAGCCTGGCTACGCCAATGAGAGTTGTTCTGAATTAACAAGGAACCTAGGCTTAAGCAGATCACAGCTAATAGAATATGTATGGTTTGGAGACCAAATGAAATTACAATACAATCATTAACTATGTTATTGTCCAGGCTTATGCAAAAAATAGTTCCTTTCTCGTCACGTGTCTATTGTATTTTAGCCAAACGTACCAATTATAGTACTGCATATTTATATTTCATCAAATATCTAAAGGTATAGACCGCGGGATAGGAGGAACGAGAGTGCAAGTATGGCGAAAGGGAACTAGGTGGTTCTTGGTATTGTAAATACTGTTTAAAGATTGAAAAAATAGAACTTATATTACCAATGGCATTCGTCTTGCTAAGCTCCTCAACCTTGACTTGAAAAATATGTTAATTATAAGATTAATGTTAATGTTAATTATAATACAATAGACACGTGATGAGAAAGGAACAATTTTTTGCATAAATCTGCCTCAAAATAGTTAATGAGTTGTATTGTAGTTTTATGTGGTCTCCAAACCATGTATATTCTATTAGCTGTGGGCAGACTAAGGCAGTTTTTAAGGGGTATAAGGAATGAAAATCCGCCATCTTGGATATCTATGTAACGTCACAGGAGGATTCACTAGAGATGGCTTCCCATAATAGTAACCGATTTCCGCCTGTGTCTACATAATATCGATCGGATATATTTTTGTATTTCCAGGAGGCGAATTTCATGCACTGATTACATATAAAGTTTTAATTTATTTCATATGTCTCATTAGATATGAATCCAAAAGCAGTCTCTATATTATCTTAGTTTCACATCAGTATTAGTTGCGTAATGTTGTGTAGTTCCGGTTTCAATGCGGCTTAAAAGCAACAATCAAGAACACTGTTGTAAATTTTAAAGTAAAAGATTAAAGATCAATCTCTTTCGTCCAGTTCTAAAGCTGGTTCTCCACTAACGATATTTTTTGTGCGAAGTGACTTCATTCCTTTGTATTTGGTCAATTTACTACATCACGTCAACAACTGCAAACGCTCCGACAATTATTGCTACATCGAAGCTTTCTACGATCTTGTCTGTAATTTGATTACAAGAAAAACATAGTCTTCACTTACCTGAAAAATTGCGAATTGCCGTCTATATTTGTGCGGCCAAGTGAAAAACTCTCGAAGATTGTTGAATATTAAAGACACTTCGTCTCACTGACTGGCTGTGTTTAGTTTCAGTTTGGCTTGTTTGATATTTTAGCCATGCACGAACACGACTAGAGCATGAATAATAAATGAATATTTAATTTCATCGCCACAGGGTTGAGAGGGGGGGGGTTGTGCACGAGAACCTTGCTCTGACTAACAAACTCCGTTTCTCAAAAATATATAATTCAGTTATAGGAACAAACACTATCGTACAGTAAACGTAATAAGGCATGGATGCATACCCAGATAATAATTTCTGCTCCCCTAAAGGCCGGTTTTCGTATTACATAATTCGTCGTAATGAACATGCCGCAATTTTTTGTTACTCGGTTTTCATAAATTATGTCGAATTATGTCATATGAAAACCAGTCTTTGAGTGCATTTCAAATGCTCTAACGCATTTCACATTTACCCATTTCAATCTTCCCAATCCTACGCGTCGACTCAACATAAAATAGAATCTAAAAGTCTGCTTCCCCACGTGGAATTGAAAAAAAAACTAAGGGGTTGTTTACATGAGCCCGGTTACCCAAGATTCAACGAAGAATGAGATGATTTTGAGGTATTGAAATGAGCAGATAACATGATCCTGGCAGTCGTATAATCACCACAATAATAGCATGTGCTTGTTTGGTGTCATAAAGACTTATTTCAATACCTCAAAGTCCTCTCACGCTTCGTTGAATCTCGGGTAACCGGGCTCATGTAAACAGCCCTTAATATGTTATGCCGGTGATGTAGATCCGTGTACTGGTAGTGTACGAGGCTATAAGTCAAAGAAATATGATATAAATCAATGTAGTTTTTTGACTTTCTTCTAATACACAAACGTGGTTGAATCAAACAGGAAAATGCTTAAATAAATCGTCAGAATGGTCGTTTATCGTCCATTGCGTGTAATTGTTGGTGTTTTGTTTTTGTTAATGAAAACTAAATGGCGGTTGCGATAAGGAATTTCCAAACGGCATGGACATGTGATGCGGGAAGGATTCAGCATGACCTTGTCGTGTTATGAGCAACTCTGTAATTTCAGTTAAACTTTTCTTCATTTTCACGATGTCCTCTTGAGCTCGTTCAAAGGCCTCCAGACTTTTCAAAACCCTCGCCACTTTGCTCTCGTTTCTGTCCAACTTCTTATTGATCCCCGACAAGGTGACCTTCATTGCTGCCAATTCAGCTTTCACTTTGGCCATGTCTTGTCTTGTTTCTTCACAACTGTGGCATTTAACTTTGCGAAGCTCGCACACCGACGTTTCGTGATGGAACAAATCTTGCTTGTTCACCTCAACATTACATCCCTCGTTGGTACAGACCACCGGGGCAAATCCGCAATCTTTCGTGTGGCTTTCAAGATCTCCCAACTCGACAACCTTGCCACAGCCGCGGTCAAAGAACTCGCATTGAATCATCAGCTCCGAGAGAAGGTTTCTGACGCTGCGTGGGGCTGGAGTGAGTGTTTTGACTGTGAGGGGCTCCATACACGTCGGGCATTTCTGGGAATTTGTGAGATGTCTTGTGATACAACCACGACAGAAAATGTGCTCGTTTTCAGCACACATGACTGGGTCTTTGAAAACGTTCGTACAAATGCAACAGTGGAAACTGGAGCTAAGAGTCTGGTGAAATCGCTCATCCTTGTAACCAGTGTTTTGTTCAGCCATTTATATATGCAAATACTAGACAATAAAATTTAATACCAGTTCTAAATACCTTATATAATATTATATAATATATCGTATATTAATATTCTAATCATAAAGTCTTCGTTGCTACATTGGCAAGATTGTCAATTTGAATCACAAAATCTACTACAAAGTTTTCGAGTATGATGCTTGCGATAGTTATCGCCACGTCAGTCAACAATTGTTTTAGCAAATTCGTCTCAAGTAAACTCTGCGCTTACCTTACTTACAGGAAAATTTAGAGTTGTCATCGATTCATCAATGGCTAATTTTTATAACACTTCATTAAAATGAAATGCTTTTTAATACCTTGCATTGTAATTCTTTTATGATTTGCTACTATTTGACTTGATCGTTCATCGTTGGGTTCCTCCCACACTCGAATTAATTTTTGCATTGCCGGAAATTGGCGGAAATAAATCGAATTGTGTAATCGTGAAATAACATTAGGGAGCTGTAGCAGTGACTACGAGTACGACTACGAGTACGAGATTCGTAATTCTCGTGCGTTGTTTGTATACGCCATCAACCAAAACTCGTAGTCGCCGAGCTTTTGAGTACGAAATTTGCCAAAAAACTCGTACTCAAAAGCCCAACGACTACGAGTTTTGGCTGATGGCGTAAGCAAACATTTGAATTTGATTTCATTTTATATTCAATTTTGATTGGCAAGTATTTCGCCAGGAAAGAGTGAAACGCGGATGCGGGCGGGCGGATAGGGGCATAATTTATGTGGATGGGCACGGGCTGAAATTCAAACATTCAATTATTCCCGGATAGGTGTGAAAGCTAATACCGATGTAGAAATCATAACTGAAAATACTAAAAAAATAAAAACAGTTAAAAAAAGATTGACTTATTTCATTAGTTTATTTAGGTTTAAGAATCTCATAACAAATAGTGATTGGGTTTTACATTAAATAAATATTAAATCTCATGCAGAATTATGGTTGAATTGGCCATTGACGATGTCTTTGTCTTCCAATGTTAACGAAAATTAAACGGCGGTTGTGGCGGGAGATTTCCAAACTGAGGTAAACTTGACATAGACTTTTGAAATAGAAAAGGTTCATGATCAGCGTTCTGTTGTGTTGTCAGATTTGTGAGTGATGCTGTTATCTCGTTTAAACTTTTCTTCATTTTCGCGACGTCTTCTTGAACCCTTTCGAATGTTTCCAAAGTTTTGATAATTTTTGTCACTTTGCTTTCATTTCTGTCCAACTTCTTATTAACCGCCGACAAACTAACTTTCAATGTCGCTATTTCACCCCTTACCGTGGCCATATCCAGGCGTGTTTCCACACAGCTGTGACATTTCACTTTTCGCTGCTCACACACGGACGTTTCATGATGGAATAAGTCCTGTTTGTTTACTTCAGCTTTACATCCATTGCAGACTACCGGGGCGAAGCCACATTCTTTCGTGTGGCACTCCAGTTCTCCTAGATCTAGAGATCTTCCGCAACCACGGTCGTAGAAATCGCACCTGATCTTCAGCTCCGAGAGAAGGTTTCTGAAACCGCGAGGGGCTGGACTGAGTGTTTCGACAGTGAGTGGTTGCATACAAGTCGGGCATCTCTGTGAGTTCATGAGATGTCTGGTAATACAGGAACGACAAAAAATGTGCTCATTTTGAGGGCACATGACCGGGTCTTTGAAAACGTTGGTGCAAATGCAACAGTGGAAACTGGAGCTGAGAGCCTGATGAAATCGTTCATCCTCGTAGCCAGTATCTTCTTCCGCCATTTCCAAAGCTCTATACAATCAAATTGAAAAGAAATTCCTCAAACCTTTTATTCAGTTACTTATACCGGTGTTTGTCTACAATCAACTTTACAGGCAGAGCTAACTGCAATGAGACCCTCGTAGAACCTAAACTGCAGCGCCTTTTAGTTTATAGGCCTGAAGAAAAGTGTCATTATGGAGCACCCACACATCACAATTCATCACAATTGTTTTTTAGTGTTGGTTAACAAAACATTGGTTAAAAGTGCACTCAGTTTACACTTAATGAAAGGTAAACAAGTCGCTCAATGCTCGCCTAGCAAATTTTGCAATATTTAAATCAAGAATATCTATCAAACGATGCTTTCGAACTCGAAGATGTTCATGTTGAATTTAATATATACGTGTTTCATAGCTTAATTATAAGGGTTCAGCAAGTCAGCAAGTCAGCAAGCAGCGATTCAACTATACAGTTTAAGATCGACCTGGGACCTTTTAAAGTCTTTCATAGTTCCCACCTTCGGTAGTTCCGTCCTCGAAACGGACGAGAATCGTTATTGTTTGGGCAGGTTTTGTGTAATTGTCTGGACTTGAGGTCATCGCTAGCAATATACCGGTTGCAATATACCGGTTGCAGATAAACTCTGCAGGTAGACATGTAATTCGAAGATACGGGAAAATTTCGTCCCGTTCCTGTTTTGAGTTGTTTTGTTTTCATCACAAGTTTGATTACGATGGAATCGTTATCATGTAATATGGAACTAAACTTCAAATACGAAAGACAAACAAATTTAAAACGAGGACGAAGCGAAAGTTTGCGGGATTTACGAGGACGAAGCGAACATTTACAACAGCTAGTATGATTGTATTTCACCATTAGTTGCCGAATGAAATTCGTTTGGTATTTTGGTCAATTCTTTGGGCGTTTAAAAAGTGAACGCCGTTTTGAACTCGTGTTGTTTTTCAACTTATGGTTACCTATGTAGTTTCATATTTTTCCAGGCCAGCATTGTGTGGACACATGTCTTTATGCTCTAGCCTCAAGAATTCTCTGAACAAGGTCGCAATATTTACCTAGACTAGTGTGTCTACACAACAACCATTGATACGATCTAACAATTTTTTTTCTCATAAATTTCATTCTAATCCAGTAGATTTTATTCATGCAATGAAAAATATACTCACTTACCTTAGTGAACTACACTTGAATGCAGAAAGCTCTCATCGAATTGAAAGCTAAACTCGAAGGGAATTCTTGAAAGTCTTTTATCAACAGTTTAAATCATACAGAATCTCGCGCAATTTTGTTTAATTGACGGTTAACGTTGATGACGTGATATAATTTGCGCACGCTAATTTATAACGATATTTCTTCATTTCTTGAACTTGAAGAGATAAAGAAAATCACGCTCCAAATTAATGGAAGCTAAAAATTTTTCAACTTCATGCATAAAAGCCTTTTTCAGACACGTATAAATGAAACGTATAAATCTTCTTTCAGTATTCTATAAACATATTTTTCGAATGCCTTCAGTGACTTTAAAAACCAGATCACGTTGCATAGCTAACTAGATGACGTCATAATTGTGCCTCGTGGACATTTTTTCAAGATCACGCAAGTCACAGGCTCACAGCCTGTTTTTTAAGGTAACTTTTTGGAATGAGGATGCCTTTTTAATAAGAATTGGAAGGTTTTATATCGATTTCAAGTCTAACAAGACCCCCGAATCGGCTTCAACCTTGGGCCGTTGTAGCGCTGCAGCGCAGGTAAGAAGGATGAATCGGGTGGTATAGAATTTATGTCTTTGATCTGGAGGTTTGTAAAACAAACATTGAAGTCGTTCAAAATTATTTTTGGTCGCCAAGTGACATGATAGCAATCGATATCCACTTCGACAATCGACATGATGTTCAGTTTATAAATTTTTCACATAAATTCTCGTAGCATTTCAATACGCACGTACAAAACGGTAGGAGGATGCGACGTCACCGATACGAAAAAGTTATGTAACCGGATGTCACGTGGAAAATAAACTGGACGAGACAAACCAAGCCAGTATTACGACCTTGAGTCTATCGAGTCATTAAACATTGTATCGTTTTGGTTCATGTAATTATAGTTCGGGTCTAAACGTTTAGGAGTTTTTAGAGGTTTTTAACAGTAGAGGACGTTCACAAATGAGTGAAGACATTGAGTGAAGACATTCAGAAAGTACATTAATGGTAGAGTAAGGTACAGGGTGTCCCTTTGTCGAATTGCCCGATTTCAGGACAGGCTGGATGTCCATCAGAAGAGTACTCTCTTTCAAATCTGTGAATTTGAATGCTTGATAACCTTTCTATGGTTGTTTTCAAATTTACAAAACCGTGGATTTGGGAATGACGATGAAGCGTTTAAATTCGCGAACTGCTTTCGAAAGCTTGAGTTTTGTTTGAAAGGGAATACATTTTTGGACACCTGTTCCGGAGACAGAAATTTGAATGTCATTTGCATAATAAACAAAGCCGAAAATCTATAGTAACGTTCGATTTTATAGCAACTGTTTTAATGCTATCATAACAAAATCCTTCTAATGGGCGCCTACGCCGCAGTGAAAAACGATAGCGGATAAATTAAGCCTTCTTGCCACTGCGTTGTTTCCCAAGCTGTGGTTGAGCGGGGTTCACGTGTGGAACCGCGAAGGTCGTACGAACAAGGACAAGAATCGACATCGCCCGCAAAACTATAAATAACCTGCATCAACAATAACAAGAATCTTGCCAGGGTTATGCCTACGCGTGCTAACCGGTTTATTGATTTCCGTATTCAATGGCTTCCTACTTAAGGAAAAGCCAACAATTGGGCAGAAACAATTGATCCTTAGTTTACAATGACTCTAAGAAAAAACGGCTAAGGATTTCGGTTGGATTTTTGTATTAGACGTGCGCTAACTGGGACAAACAGTATTTATACATATTCGTATTAGAAATAGACTTGAAATGACGAGAGTTAATTATTTGCTAACGGTATTTACGGAACTCTTTAGCTACTGAAAATCTTACGAAACAGGCTTTTCCTTCGAGATTTGCAACGCTGTTTAAAGATGAGTTATATTTGGCTACGTTTTGAGCGATGAACAGCTGGTTTCGTTCGTTTCAAAAGCGCTTCGCCAACGGTTATTCCATTTGAACTGACCTTAAGTTATAGCAACGACTGATGATTGTTTACAAATTTGGAAGTATACATTTCTTTTTTAACTGCATTATGCTAAGATAAAGATTAGTTTTCACTGTCGCTAAAATGACATTTATAACAGATGCAAAAGAGTGCCATCATATATCCTCGATTAATATAAGGACTGATTTGCATACAACGAAAAAGAAATGAGAATCTTTCCCGTATATACTTGTTACTGCATGTGTATATGCATGTAGAAAGCAAACGAAAAGCGGAAACCAAATAATTGGGCGCCACTAACATGTGCAAATTATACTAATTGACAAAGTGTGCCTTTGGGAAACTCATAATGAGGTGCATTGTGTTAGCCACCTCAACTGCATGCGAGACAGGTGTATACAAAAGCAATTATTCAAAATTTTGTTGTTTAGCTGTGACGAAGGAAACCAAACCGTACGTAAACCGGGAATAAAAAGAACGCTATAGAATAAATCGTCGACGCAAAATTGTCGTGTGCTTTTCAAAAGTACGCCCGCTAGAAAAGTAGCAGTTTATTTACCTTGCAACTTGCTAGCGTTTGCCTTTCCTTTAATAAGCATATTTGAATTAGGGGAGGGACGGAGGCGGTGAATATATTAAAACAGTCGGTTTAACAGGCTGAATTGTGTACACACATAACGAGGATTAAGAACTCTGCATCATTCTTGAAAGGGACCGTTGACTTAGTATAGCATATTATAACGTTTTCGCTGGAAATGAAGAATGGAAACGAAAGTTCGCCGTCAAGTGGAAAATTTGAGGTAATGAAAGATCGAGTGATATTTTCGCATAAGAATAAATAAAGTTGAAGACAGCTACTATCGTTACCTGCGAAATCGTTGTACTTGTGTATGTAAAACCTCATTTTCCCAGAGCCCTTAGTTTTTATTTGTTAAGCGTACTTTGGAAAAATAATCTATTTATTTACGTTACCGGTTATATGAACTTCTTCGTCACCAGGGTCAGTTGTTGGAAAAGTAAATAAAGCGCCGTGTTTACGATATAAAACTGACACATTATATTTGAAAATCATTTAACCTTTTCTATATGCTTTAGTGAGCCATGCATGTGTATAAAAATAGTCATTCTAAATTTTTATATCAAATGTGCCATCTTCATTTAGTCGTGTATATTATATCGAAGTGTAGCAACTGATGATAACAATATAATTAGTATATATTATAGGATTTATATTAACCTGTGTGTTATGTTACACAGATAAATATATAGGAAAAACATGGAACTATACTTATAAGCTACATGAATAACAAGGTTATGATCATGAATTCGTATGGATTTGTAAATTTTAAAAGCCGTCAATTTACGAATCACTGAATTATCATTGACTTATATGGACGGGCTAATGTTCTTTACTATATAGCGATTAACGATATAACAAACAAAGTGATAGAAGTCCTCGTACAATATTTTATAAAAAGCATGCAAATTTCTTTTTATTTGCAACTATCGCTTTGCGTGCGCCCAATATTCTGTTTGCCAGTTTCAGCTAGGATCATCTTTGCCACATATATGCATGGCTTTATAGCTTAAAAAACAATCATCGCACGCAATAACGGTAAAATCGTTAAAGTAGCGCTATTGTGTGCTTATTCTATTTCAATATGACATCATATGCTCATTGTGCTGGATATCTTTATGATGTTATTCTTTACTTATATGAGTATTGAGGAAGTGGTAGCTATAAATATAATTAGGTTATTCGACACGAATTTTTATGATTGATCTGTATAAGTTCCCGACCAATACTGAATTGACATAGCCTAGCAAGATTTATATAAAATAGAATCCACAATTGTCAGAATATACATTTCTTATGTTGATTTTTATATATAAACATTTCTTATGCACGTGGTTACGAGAATAAATTTAAAGGCATGGCCATGGCTATATATACGAAATTCATATAGATGTGATATGACTGCCATAAACTTTAAGCGTTCAATATGGATGAATACTGTGTGCATTTCAATGCCCACTTCGGAAGAATTGTCCTAATTTTTTTTAAAAAATTTCATTATTAACCTGCCACTTGTGCCCAGCGCTAACCAAAAATTACGGCACAAACATAAACTAACTCGAAGTTACATGTTTCAACCGTAGGTTTATTATGAAACTACGCTTTTGCAAGGCCTTTTGACTATTGAAAATTATACCGTAAAGTTATACAGCTTTTACGTATAACTCTACGATTAATAGTTCAGCCCATGGATCATATGGTGCTAGAAAATATATACAATATAAAATTTGGCCGGGTTTAACTTTAACACAGCTTGGATTTTTGACTTGTCATATTATATAGCAATCAGTCCTTGCATCATGAATACACAATAAATTATAGCTGAAAGTTTGAAGAAGATTCAGCCATTTCTAAATCTAATAATAAACGTAGCTATAGACATAGAAACTTCATATTTTGCCTCCTATCGTGCGATATTCAACCGCTGGCATACCCGTTAAGCATAGTTGTAGTCGGGCTGACATCAACCTTTGCAAAGACATTTTGAAATGAACAATTTTACAATACCCGAGGTAAACGGCTTGTCTATTTTCTACGCACTAATTATCTCTAGTGCTAGCTATTCATTACACCTGACACCGTCTTTTCAAACAGCGGGTAGTTAATGCAATAAATATATTTTGAAGAAAATATACAACAAATTTCTTCTTGTTTATCAGCAGATAGTATAAGCACACACGAGTCGTAGTAGTACAGTGAATATTTCTTGTTTAATCTTGTCTGCACGAAATCGACGATCATAACAACGAGATAAAAGGAATAAAAAACACAATTTACGAATGAATATTCAAAGCAAACCAGCAATAACTTCCATATATAAAGAAGAACTCTATATTGCTATCAAAGCGGTCACGAAATTTTAAAAACCTTAAATGTGGAAAATATGAGAGAGAAAAGCATTAACGACGAAATTCAAAGGTCTTGCATAAAAATCAGTAGCTAGTCCTTTGGATTAGCATTCATCTTTTCTCAGTTATTTCTCCGACTAGTGCATGGCATATCGATCGCAAAACACATTTAACTTCTGAGCTTTTCGTTCGTTAACATCATTTTAAACCTAAACAAGGCTTGACAGTCTTGTGGGAAACAAAATGGCGGGTACCTGTCGATTGTACACAATTTACTAGCGTTAGCGTTGGCGCAAAGCGCGTTCTTATTGGATCTTAATAATTTACGGAGGTCATGCACGCGGCATACAATTACTAGCAAGGTCATCATAGCCCTTTATTTGGGTCGGCAACGCTATGATATGTGGCTTAAAAAAAACACCTTTAAATAAACATTTTCTTAGAAAGAAACAAAAAATTAATGGAAAGAAAAGCCACGAATGTGGTGCTTCAATAAAAATTAAGGACAGGTTTTTCTTATTGGAGTTTTGCTAAAGCGGAATTTGAAAATGGCTTTGTTAGGGCGCCCGAAGTTTAGCATAGTTGTTTATAATGGGAAGGCGTTTATAATCGTGATTTGATGTGTTTTTAACAGCATGGACGGCATCTGAAACTCTAATGGGGTTTAGGATATTAAACGTGAAATATGTAGTCCGATATGATCATATTAGAGGCAACAATATTCCAAAATTGAGCTTTTCCAGAGCGGTTTTCAATATCAGCTGGCGTTCACTTAGGGAAAGTTATTACTACTTCCGTAGCTATAACTGACAGAAAATCGCATCGCAGGCGAATGAGGAGATGGAAAGTTCTCCAAAGATTGATGGTTCATATACAATGTATTTGAATATGTTGTGAAAGGACCATCACTGCCTCTTAGGTTATTAATATATAATTATCAGAAGGAAACTTCACTCTCTCTATATGTCCGATCAATTTTGAAAGGTTTTAGAGTTTCAGCCTTTCTCACCCTGGCATCAAAAAACCTCGTGCGATTATTTGGTTATTCCTAGCCATGCATTATTTATGACATAAACATTCAGGCATTGTCAGAAAGCGAAATACTTCCCTTTTTTCTTATTCTTTTATTACTATTCATAATAGATGCTGATACTAATGTGATATGAGCTTTCAACGGAAAGCCAATAAAGGCGTTGTAAATAATCTCTATCCCGGCAAGCGGGACGAAATGCTCTCATATATAAACATAGGACAAGTTTATCCCGTTTACCGAGCTGTCTCGCTGAACGAGCCAGCCCGACTCCCATCTATACATATGCAGCCCCTAAATTTGACCTTTCTTTCCCCATGTGAAAAACATCTTTTTCATGCGCTCATTAGTATGATAAAAGTTCAAACGATATTGTATTTATACCCGTTCTTGGCGTCATTCTTCGATCGTCATTAGCAATGGAGTTCAATATACGAATTCATGAGCAGATCGCGTCCTTTATCCAGCTATAGCTCTCCATGGGACTGATGCATGGGAGCCTTACATCAATTACGGTACGAGCTCTTTACGCATTTTTTACGGTGATGGGTGATGTAATGTATTCGTGCAAAATTAATACGCACTGTATATATTTTCGTGAGAGGCCACTTATTAATTTAGAGAATGAAGTTGAAAATAGTCAAAAAAAACTTTTAAAGATACTTTACTTAGCTATAATAATATCACATGATAATGAATCTTTCATTATATATTGCTAACGTATGCCTGAGTCTAATTGTTTAACAGCTGGTTCAAATGTGTTCAAATAAATATACCGGTATAATTAAAAGAAATTAAAGTTGGCCTATAAAAACCGCCTTTAACATCAAATGAGAAAAGGCTGATTAGTAACTTCATGCCAAGAGTGGAATATCATGCTAAGCACGGCCGCCTAGAGGGGGGTAAGGGGGTATTTTGGCACCTGAAGGGGCCCCGACTTAAGAAAGAACCACTGAAATTAAAGCACCTTAATTTAAAAATGGCTCAATGTTTTATTCGCACACTAGTCGAAAGTACGAGTGACATGCAGTCATTGTTATTTTAATTTCGTTGATATTGTTTCGTTAATGTTGATATTGTTTGTAAAAAAAGTTTGTTTGTTAAACTTTTTCACATGGCTGGAAAAAAAATTTCACCGGGCCCCACAGTTTCTCTCGGCAGCCTGATGCTAAGTGTATATAAAACTGAATTATTACAACATTCCTGAAAGCCATTGCCTGATAAATATACGTATGCGATGTAAATTATTTCTTCTCGAGTTAAATAGTCCAATCATAGACTGACAAAGTAAAAAACAAATTGCGAAAAAGCGGGACATCTTGAGAGTCAAAATATGAATGAAGCAAGACACAGGTTGAGACTGTAAATTTTCGACCTTTTTCAAAGTCATCTTCATTGTCCTTTTTATTCCGAATTTGTTTTTTGCTTTACTTTTTTAAATTGTCGGCTGGTCATGGGTTTTTTCATAGACTGACAATGGGTTGAAATCCGTCATTGCTTAGGAAAATCCTTTACGAAACAGTTCCGCTGTAAAATTAAGATGGGTATTTAAAGAAGGAATTGGGAACGCGTGGATATACATCTCAGCAAATTAGAATCAAGTAGGACCATTCAGCACGACCGCCATTGAAGTGTTACGTATTTGCATGCAGCACTGATCTCTATGTGAACTGGGACAATAACTCGCTCGCCATGTTTGAAGCTAATTTGAAACCAAACCAGTGCCAGTCTAGTTTCATTGTTTTATGTTGGCACGGTAAACGATCGCGCCAACAGAAACAATAGAAAGAGAATGGCACTGGATTTCAATTTGCCTTTAAATTTGCTTCAAAGATGACGAACAAATATCCGTCACTTATCGTTCCGATCAAAACAGACTTTACTCGCATGTTGGCAACAAACAGTTTTTCATCTGGGCTCTTCCACATTCGTGAATTGATTTGTCAGAGATTAAACTTTAAAGCTTTGGGGGACTTTAATGCATCAAATTTCTAATTCACTACTTAAAACGGCCTGTATTACAGTTGCATGTTGTCGAGATGGATTATTATCGGATGAATAATAGGTTATCTTTTTTAATGGATCTGCATGGATCAATTTTTTATGGCCCATATATTTTAAGCTCCTGAAAACGACCTCACAGACACAGTTTGTAATTCTAGCTTACTGTTATTTTGTGAGGCAAATTGAAATGACGTTCTATACAATGTAACAAACGTAGAATGTAGTGAGATTTGTAGCAATGAAGTTTCAAGTTCGGATTAATTGTATTCAAATAGAAATTGTGTTATCCAGCCTCCGTATAGCTATACATCAATGCATGGTTATCCATATCAGATGCACTATCAATTTCCTGCTTTTAGCCAACAAAGCACTGTCCTTACTTTCAGGTCTGTGCATCCCTATTGACTTCAATATATTTATCCTTAACTGTCTTAAGATCTTAAGATCTGGGGCCGGTTGTGTCAAGCTCGTTTAGCTTAAACGGTGGATAAGTTCAAAATACAAAGCGAGTCTATCGTTTTATTCAACAAGCGAACTAAATGTTTTTAACCTTAATACAAAGATACTGTTTACAACTACACATTCAGTGCATTATATTCAAGTCGACTTATTCAAGAGAGATCTAAGAGTGTTATTTAATTTTGACTTATCCACCGTTTAAGCTTAACGGGCTTGATACAACCGGCCCCAGCTATTGACTCAACTATTGACTTTGCTTATTAATAGCACGTGCATTAGCCTTTGTTTTCAGAGCAGGGGTCCTAAACCCTTGAAACTGCAGGGCATTCAGAGTAGGTATATCTGTTATTAATTCCTTGTCTTAAAGCAGTACGCTTGCATCTTACTGTGGTACTTAAGCACATAAACATTTAAGTCTGTATTAACTCTGTGGGCTTGCATAAACATCTGTAGTTGGTCCGATAATCCTATCACAGCACTTTTCATTCATCACACAGAGCATAGGGTGAGATGTCCCATGGTCTTGTTTTCTAAAATGACGGCAAGACATTTCCTACTCGCACGATTTCGTGCAAGTTCGCACAGTACAACTGTTAATACGTCCGCGGTTTTCCAGCATGATCGTCTATATACTGTTCAGCGCGACTGTGACCAATTAGCTAGAGATATGTGGTTCAAACCTGCACCGTATACGCCGTCTCTTTGAATGTCTTCTCCTCGTAACAACTTCTGAAATGCAACGCTGGTTGATAGAGTTAGTGCACTGTGTGAGTTCCCATTATGACCTTAGTCGAGTAGAAATATGGATTCGTTTTAGTTGTTAAACAACTATAATGAGACCCATTATACTTACAATTCGATTTTATATGCGAGTTGTTCCTTTGATAGTATTTATCAAAGTTAATCGTATCGTATAACAGAACTTGCTCGTTCGCATCGAAAATCCATCACTTATTCATGCACTCGTTTACATCTATCGAAAGGAGAAAATCGCATGTATAATATCGCAGAAAAAACTGCCTGCGTAAACCGACCTCGGTTGCTTAGTTTAGTTCATCGTGCAAAACTCGTGGTCGTTAGACCTTTGAGTATACAAGCCAATTTTAATGTACTCTTAATTCCTGCGCGACCCGGCGCTGTTAAAAGCAACCTTTACCGCGAGGGTTCCAAAACCCCGCTATTGGCGAGCTTTCATGGTAAACCTGGAGTGACATTATACCACCACTGGTATTTTCGAGTTGACCACCACTGGTATTTTCGAGCTGATCGCCACTGGCGTTTTCGAGTTGACCAGTGGTGTTTTTTGAGTTGAACACCACTGGTATTCTCGAGTTGACCACTACTGGTATTTTCGAGTTGATCACCACTGACATTTCGAGTTGACCACTACTGTTATTTTTGAGTTGATCACTACTAGTATTGTAAGAATTGCGAAAGTAATAGTACGTTTTTTATTGAACGATCAAAAAACAGCTTAGAGAACTGTTTGTGAACTACGATGGGTTAAAAAGCATTTATGACAGTGGATTTATTCGATTTAATGCTTTGTAGCCTTGTTTGTCAACAACACAGAATCAATGTGTGTGATTTATAGCAACGTTACGGAGATATAATTCGTATGCCTGTCCCACTAAATAGGACCAGCATGATTAATGAATTTACATGCAAGTGTTAGGTCACATCATAGCCAAGGGCTATTCAGCGAGGAATTTATGATTTAAAAGTAGGTCGCGGTACACAGAAAGAATAGCATTCAACATCAAAGCTATAAAAAGAACATCTTATAATTGGAAAAACTGTACAATTTGATTAGGAAGTATAGCAGAACACTAAGAAAAAATACGCAGCAAAGTTTGCGCAGTAGAGTGCAGTTCACTAGTCGAAGTGCAGTACGTCTTATCCTATACAGGAGCTTTTTGGCCATTTCCATTGTGATTTCATTCTACTTGCTTTAGTGATCGAAAATGTCTTCAGCTAAGATAATCACCGCATCCTACTTTTTGCAATATACCGATAATGCCTAGTATCGCATACTATGAGGTTGGCGCCCGGCGCATTGAAGCGAGGCTCGTCTGGCATACGCAGTACACTCCTAGATAAAAGTTTATTGAATTTTAGTCGTTCATATCCTCATATGCGCCGTATGTTGCACGCACAAGTGCTTACGTCGAATTCTTTTCCATATTACTGCAACTCTGCACCAAGCCTTCGATATATATGACACACGATACGATTGGACACCTCCAACTTAGGAAATACCGAAGAAATTTCCAATCTTTGTTGATCAAAATTTCACTTTGCTTCGCTTCCCGCCCGACCATGCAAATTGATTTTTTCTCGATTTTGAAAAGGCCGAAAAATCTTGCTCAGTTTCTTCCTCATTGAATCAGTACTATGGTTTCATCCTCCGGGATAAGAATCTTTATATAAGCATTTTGAAAAGGCTCTTTATTTTTCCACCAAAATAACTGTGCGCTCTTTTCCTTTACAGGAAACGAAAGATCATGAGGTTTGTCACGAAATTAACTTTGACAAAGGTGAGTTCTTTTTAAGAGCTTGATAGTTGTTGTTTTCGTCAGGATGTTTTGTATTTCTATCCTAAATGCTCCATATATTTTAATACTCTGTCAGTTTCAAGATTCAATTTTTTTCAAAATTTTCCCGGTTATCGTCTCAGAATACGTAATGACCGAGGTACACAGGCCAAAATTAAATTTCGTAGCACAAATAGAGTCTATTTATGTCGGGGTTTTGCACAAAACAGGAAAAAAGAAAGCCATTCTTCGACGTCATTGCCATGATTGTTGACATAAAGACATGTGACATTCATTCAGTGCTATAAAAAAGCCAGCATACGTTTTAAATATTAGCGAAACTAAAGCTCATATAGCAAAGATCGCGTCCCTTCAGCAACGTGGACATCAGCAGAAAAAAATGCGACATTTCGTAGGAAGAAAGTGCATGACAGGAATTGTTCGTAAGTCAATTATCTTATCACCGCATCTTAGTTCGTTCATATATGCTTATTGATTTATGATAACTAGGCTAGAAAATAGCCCTTAATCTGCCTATGACAAATTTAATGTAGCAAAGTTCTCACGTTCTAATTGGAGAGGAAAATAGAATATTTTTGTTAATGCGGCAAATAAATTTAGACAGAAGAAGGTCCCGTTATCCGTACTGATTAGTTCGCAAGTTAAAATGGAAATACGTCTTTCAGGGAATGTGCATGCATTGATAATGCCATTGATCTAAGCTGTCGGATGCGTTCCTCATGCAGCACGTGCAGATTGCGACTAATTTACCTGTATCAAAATATATTGAGACCGCTTTAACTAGCTTTTTCTCTATGAAAAGACCCGTTTGCAGCATTAGATGCGATTTTCGGCGCAAATTTCGCCTTTTGATGGATGCGAACAAGCAAATATACAGATATAATAATGCTGTGATTAACTTGCAACATATATCCACTCGTTCAAATCTATCAAAAGTAGGAATTTAAATGATAAGTGTAATTTTGCATGGTGATATCACAATATAAGTAAATTAGCTTTTAGACAGTGGCGTAGCCAGCCTGACGATTTTGTCCCGCTATGTAAATTTCGAGTTATTATTATTATTCATGTCTTTAGAAATCTATTGTTTTCACAGTCAGTGAACACAAAAATATTAGCATAGCGGGACAAATCGACAGGCTGGCTACGCTACTACTTTTAGATACACGACGTAAGTATTCAATACTGCTTTTATAGGGTCTTCAACCCGGGCTTTCATCATTACAACTACATGCAGTAGTTAAATTTTCATGACTAAAGTTCGGCAGAATTGCGCTTACGCCAGGTGAAATCAATTTGAAAACGAGGCCTATATATATCCTCGTCTGCAAGTGAAAACGTCACATATATTTCCATCACTGAAACTCTATAATACTCGTTTCTGCTGAATGATCAAAGTCGTATAAATAAAATCCTATATCGAGTACTATTATAAAGTCGACTCTCGAGCTATCACATTCAACTATGATCATAATTCATTAATTGTGCTACGAATAGTTTTAAATACTGTACTACAATTTTTAGCAAAATTTCAATTCCTTTTTAAACAAGATCATCATGAAAAAAATATTTTAACGAAATTGACGAATAAATTTAAAAAGGTGTCATACATTTGTTGATAAATCCACATATTAAACTTACAAAAAATGCCTTAAACCTACCCATTTACCTGTTCAAAAGCACTCCAAAACTGCTTCAAAATCTTAGATTTTAATTTAGCCAATCGCACGTTTGCAAACGTTTCCTAGTGACCAATTTTAACTCGTTTAAACTCACGCATGCGCATAACTTACAAAAACGCCCAACGTCCATGACATGATGGCGGACAACTTCGATCTCGCATTTGCATTCCCATGCAGACGTAATTAAAATCTCCGGCCGGAATTAGTACCCTCGCACCGGCTCGGGGATTACGGATAAATTTATCTATATGATTATATTAGATAAATTTAGACAATGAGATCAATAATGAGATAAATTTATATCTATAATTACTAAAGAGAATCAGAGGCCGCGGAACCGGGGGGGCATTGGGGGCAGATGCCCCCCCACTTTTCGTGCAAGGGGAAAATGTGCCCTTTTTTAGACGTAAAAGTGCCTTTTTCTGAAATGATTTTCCCATTTTTTCTGAGATGAATGTGCCCTTTTTAATTTTAAGAAATAAAGTGCCCAACTGCCTTCTGTTTAACTGGCCTAATATTCGTCGTGAAAACGTATCTAAGGAGCACGATGACGGAAGCACGCTACTGCAACCTTATGACTATGAAAGTAAACAAAACAAGAACCGATAAACTAGATTTAAAGTTAATTGCTAAAGACTTCGTTCTCAAAAACAAAAAAGGAGTTGGATATTTTGGAAAATTTCAATAAAGTTACATTTAACCAATTAAATTTTTGTTCTAATTTGTGTAACATCTGCATAATCTGCATTTGATTCCTATCTGTGGTGGTTTAGGGGATATATATATATATATATATATATATATATATATATATATATATATATATATATATATATATATATATATATATATATAGTCTGATGATCGCCTATGTGCGTGACACGCGATCGAGTATACATATTGCCCCTTTTCGTCAGTGCCCCCCCACTTTTGACATGCTTCCGCGGCCTCTGAAGAGAATTGTGTAGACATAAGCCGTTTAGATTTCCTATTGAGTCTTGGTGATCGGCAATCGGGAAAAAACGAAAATTTGTCGAGTTGTTTTTGTGTAGAAGTGTCAGATGAAGAAAACAGAAGTTTTTAAAAAATGCGAACCTAAAGAACAAAAAATGCACCTGAAAAAGAAAGCCTTAAATTATTTCGATCGAGGTGAAAAACGGTTTTGTTTCGCATGCAACATTGTTTGAATAAATCGCCGGAAATTTGTATATTTTTTAGCATTCACAATTGCAAAAACGTGTATTTTCTACAATACATTTTTTTCAAATAATCACCTTTGTAGTTATACTAAAACAAATATTTGCATCAGGCTCTCTTTTATTCAGCAATATTAACTTATATTATTGTAAATATTATTGTTTATTATAGTAGAGCAAGCGCCGTTTAAGAGTTAAAGAATTCGTTTTAAGGCTGAATTATAATGAGGCACGCATCAGAACAAATGTTGTTGTTTTTTTTGTTGTTTTTTATTTTATTTATTTTAATTTTAGTAAACTTCGTCACAATATAGTTACCGACAATCATATCAATAATTTAACAATATACAACAATTATGACACGGTATTCACAACAGATTCTCGCACGGATCCCATTAAATGACAAACATTATTTAAAACAAAGGACGATTATTACCTAAAATTGCTAAAAACAACATGTGCATGACGCGTCTAGTTTTATCTCATTATGTTTTTATTCGTCAAATGAGAAAACGACGTTTGACACAGCAATGAACTATAAAGAGACTGGAGTGATAACTGCTATCCCATCTTCAAAGGCCAGGATGATTATTATTTGGTTCCTAAGAGAGCGGATATGATTACATCATTCAATTTGCTGTCAGGCGCTTGAACAGACCAATAGGAATAATATTGTGTTATTCCATTCTCCCTCTCAGCGATGAAAAATACTTGAAGCATCTTCGTAAGGCATATGTGTGGAATGACCCTTGATATCTTGATCTGAACGAGAGCTCAAGCGGAGCTTTTTATTGATCGTATTAGAGTCTGTTCATCGCCATCAAAACTTGCATCTTAAGCCGATCCGATCGGGCGATTTAAATCTCGTCGGTCCGATCGTCCTTGACGACTGTCTGTTGAAATAGGCGTGTGCTGTGTTAGTTAGTGACGTTATGCAATGCAAACTGCGGGGCGACAACTCGGAAGTGAAAATCGCCCTCCTCTAACAATTGCCCCCCATCAAGCGGGCCTATCAGGCACTACTGCATTGAATTTGGAATGTCGGTAAAAAGCGAGAAAAAAATTACCCGTCAACGCGAAGATTTGTCGTGTCGGCGCTTTGGAAAATTTCTTGAGAAAAAAGCAGTAGAAACACTTATTCTACAGGCATTTCGGAAAAGGGCTTTTTTTCAAAGGTCAACGATAGCAGTAATATGCCTGGTGATATTCTACACCACCCAGTTGGTCGGTGACCTCTGTTCGAATGGATGACTGAGATGTTTTTAAAAACACTACAGGCATGCTACACTTGAAACGTTATAGTATTCACAAGGACGTATCCAATCTTTTTGAAGAAATCTGTGCGTGCCCAACATCAGGGCTAAACTTTATGAGGAGAGAATTTTGAGTGGACTAGATTTTCTTTGATTTACTTTCCATCAAAAGGCAGGGGTTAGATCTCGTCTGTATATTCCCTTTGTAGCCACACGCAGTGTTGTTTAAAAAAACTTTGATGCAGACGAATTACAAGATATTCAAAATACTATGGCGATCATGAAGAAAGTAATCGAAATTTCAGTCGAATCTAATCTATTATAAAGACATCTTATGCGTAATGGTTATCTTTACTGTGCAGCGCTGTAGGAAGTCCTTTATTGATACTTTGAATGAAAACGGCAAACAAAAGATGCGGAAAATACTGTCTATTTGCCCGGATCCCGTGCAGTGTAGTGCTCCCATCTGGTTCAACCCATAAATCTTCACAATGGAATAAGGCCAGAACTGCCCCTGTTTGTTACATGAAGATTATACATTGATACTGTTGATGATACAAGCTTAACGATTAGGAGGAGAGTCTAGTGCCCAGTGGTCGCGATCTTCGACCTGCATGCTGTTTGAATTCCTCTACCGTCGGCCAAACCTTGGCCTTCTCAAGCGACAGTGAAGCATTGTGTGTACACAGCATCAGATGGGAATGACGAAACATTTCCTTCGTTGACAAAAAAATCAAATTAAAATAATACATCAAAATTGAACAAAAATAAATAAGAGACACAAAGGTTGCTGTCAGATGGGCCTTTAATTGCCCTAAACAATTTAAGGAATTCCGCTGGAGCTCTTGGAG